ACACATCAATTCCACCAACATGTTCCCAAAAATCTCTTTCCCCTAATAGATGCCTCCATCTATTTCCAAAAATTATCTGCAACGCAAACAAGAAACTTTCAAGACTGTAGGAACCAACTTTCACCTGTGCTTCCTGGGAAAAAAAATTGCTGCCGAATACCCAACATTTTGGAGCAGTTAGGTAGCTGTAATAATCGAAATAAAATTCTACAACTACAAAAAAAAAGATTTGAAAAGCAAAGAATAAGAGGAAAAGAAACAAATATCCCAATGAAAAAACCATGAAAGTAGAAATTTAACTTACATTATTTGATGATGTCTGGAAATTAGCCCAGACAGAATGTATTATATGGACTTTACTCCATGGTCCACCAGTTCTCCATAATAACTGCCATTGCAAGTAAAGCTTTAGCAATTTCCATAGAGGCACAAATGCAAACATAATGGTCTCCCCATTAAGAAACTTACATTGGCCAAAGCGTTTAGTTTTTGTGAAGTATGTGAGTTTTCATTTCTTGAATTCCAAACTAAAGAAACCTGAACTTTACCTGAAAACGATGCAAGAGGCTTGTTAACTCCAATAAAACCTCAAATACATTACTTCACTAGAAGGTAAAAACCAACTCAGCTTCTAACCCTTAATATATCTTTCTGAGGTGGGAAGAGATGTGTCATGTGTTGTCACAGCCATCTAGAAGGACCAATTCCAGTCATGTATGCAAGTCATAACCATAAATATCCATTGAAAGCCATCACTAAAATACATTATTCGCATCCACATCATGTTAATATACAACTAACCTGGACATATCTCAACTCGCCTGTCCCTAAATCTTCATCATATGGTTCAACATTCAACTCAATTATAGCTGGAAAACCCCAAGAGGAAATTTTTTGTATACATTAAGAAAGAATGAAAGAGCATGCAGAATGTTAGCACTTGCATAAAAGAAGGGGCACAATAAATGAATAGAAGAACGAGCCTCGTTTCAGAAGTTGTACAACGGCATTAATATTAGGATGGTGAGCTGCAAAAATAGGGTCAAATGAGATCAATGTTGAATAAGCATCTACATGTGTTTTGCAAACTCATAAATACTGACAGTGCATACCTTTACAGTCAGGGATATCAACAACATTGTGAGTGCCCTCCTGATATAGCCCAATTAAAGGTTGCACGGATGAACCACGAACTGCAAGCTTCGCACGGCACCTCCATCCCCACTGTAAGCAATTGTTCATTTCAATACAAGTAGTAATACAGTAATACACCATGGCAGTGCTCAGTACACAGAACAAACATACCAAAAAATCCTTTCCTGTTTTTCTATGCATGTTAGGCTAGGTGGGAATAATTTTTCCATAGAAAACTTTTTTATGTAGTCTGTTGAAGAGAGGAAAGTCTTTTCGTCTGCTTTGAGACTTCGAGAAATCCCTTTTTTAATCCCCTTGGAATGATTGTTTTAAGTGTCAACTTTTTGGAAAGTTTAGGAAACACTACACTCTTGGATAGAGGTAAGACCTCTACCTACACACACCCACCCTAGACCCAGCTGGGATTCTTACTGGGTGTGTTGTTGTTCAAGAAACACTGCAAGCTTATATATTTCCTTCCGTCCTAAAAACCTTTCATGTTTTGACTTTTTTTGGTCAAACACTAACACTCTTTGGCTACAAATTAAACATAATCTAAATAAATAAATGATATAAAAATTTGATATATCAAAACAATATCCTAAGATAAACCCAATTATATTGAACTTATATTATAATTAAATATACTTTTCTTACAAATTGTAGTCAATGATTGTCACTGTTTGACTAAAAAATAAAAAAAAGGAAAATTTTTTAGAACGGGGGAGTAGATTTTTTTTCCTTTGGAAAATTGTTTTCCTTAAAGATGAATTCACTCTACTAAATATGATAATGAAAACAGAGAAGCCCGAATCAAGCACCAATCTGCAACTGTGGAAGGTGAAATCGGTGACCCCAAGCTTTTTGAAGAAGTTCGCAGCTTCATCAATCAGTATTGGACGGTGGAGATTAAACTCTTGAGTACAACCAGAACACCTGTAAAACAATACCTAGATTATACACTAGTAAAATAAGAAATGAACCTTTCATTGACCTAAAAAGACACTCGAACTCGAATGCTTACATCTGAAAGTGAGGGCAATGGAGAGAGCAGGACGAGGATGATGAAGGAACGGGATTGGAGGATTGAACATGAGATTGCTGTGGAGCCGGCGGCGTCGGTTGTGGGGGGATGTGCAAAGCGCGGGGAACGGCGCCGGCGGTATTAGACTGGCAGCTTATACTAGCAAAAGGAGAAGGCGTCGAAAAGAGGCTTGAAGTAAAAGCCATCATCAGCCCACAGCCCTACACTTGAGTTCGGAGTTTCATGAAATCTTCGTGTTCCTCCGGCGGTGGAATTCCGGTGCATCTACCATGGGCTACTGATTGTTCTCATATGGACGGACATTGGACCACAATGTGTTATTTTGTGAAATTTTTTTAAGTTTTTTTTATATATTTTGTGTAAATAACCATCTTTTTTGTTTGCTTTACTTTTTTATTTTTTAATTTTTATATTATTCTGTATTATATTTTTTTTTTCAATTTTTTGCTGGTTATTTTTATATAATTAGTTTTTCACAAAAATGAAGTAAGATTTTCTAAAAAAACATTTGTTTGTTTTTTTAAACTTTCTCTAGTCTCATTTGTTTTTGCATTTTTATGTATTTATTTAGGGCGTATTTTATTCACTTGTTTTATTTAATTGTTTACAATACAAATTAAAAATTGACAAAAAAACTTAACAAACAAAAAAAGCAAAAAACAAAAAAAAAATAATACGTACAGTTTGATTTTTTTGTTTAACTAAATTGATTAAGTATAACACATTCAATAGAAAAGATAAATAATAAAGATAAAGGAAAAAATAACGAATAGGATAAATAAAGAAAAGAAGAAAGAAAAACAAAAAGAAAACAAAACAATGAAAAAGAAGTAAGAAATGAGAAAAGGCATAAAAGGAATAAATAATAAATAAGGATTTCAAAATGGAACTAAAGAAAAACATAGCAGACGGAAACAATTACAGAAAATTAAAACAGTGAAAACAAAATTTAAAAAGGAAAAAAATAAGAAAAGAGGACAGAATGAAGAAAATTAAAGTAAAAAAGGAAAGAAATGATAAAAAGTGAAAATGATTAAAAAATAAAAAAAGAGTTAAAAAAGGATCAAAAGGAAAAAAGGAAAAGAAATGCGACCGACAGATGGTTATCTATCATTTTATCATTTTTATTCGGGACAACATATGGTCAACTATCCGTTGACTAAGAAGATTCATGAGATTTCATTCTTCGCAGGTCAACCTTTAGGTTACCTCGGCTCCTGGTCATTTCTCACCACTTTGTCATGTGATTGGCAACACAAATGAAATGGAAAAATAGCGAATAAGAAAAAAAGAAAAGAAAGAAAAAACAAAAAATAAAAGAAAAGATGAGAAAAAGAAAGGAGAGAAAGAAAGGGGAGTGGGTTGAAAAAGAAAAAACATATTCCGTATAATTTATGGGAGTGTAAGTAGAAGAGAATGAAGAAATGAGGGTCAATGTGAAAAAATAAAAATTTGGATTTTGCAATTTGGCCTAGAGTGACTTGCGGGTCACTTGGCAATGGACAAATAGACTTTTAGTGAAAAGATGGTAAAAGTTTAGGTACTTTTGTGAAATGTTTTGAAGTTTAGGTACTAAATCAAAATTTTCGTGAAAATTTAGGTACTATTTTTGAAATTTACCGAGACTACGTTAAGTGGTTAGAGAATCTTGATGTTGAGACTACACCAAGTGGTTAGATAAAATCTTGGTATTGGGATTACAATTAGTAGTTTGAGAAATATTGGTGTTAGGGGGCTACACAAAGTGGTCAAATCTTGTGACCTGAGTGATTAAGTTGCAGATGATAAGTTCGGACGTTTGTGTAACTCAAGTTCTCGAGTTGTACGATTTATCCAACATAATTAGGTTTGGTGAGATGATTAATGAAGGCTTGGATACAGTTGTTCGGTGATTGGATGCAATCATTAGGACAAAGCAATATAGATCATGGTGTTTTTTACTGCTTTTCATAACTTAGTTTAACTTATTCTTGAGCGTTTTATACACGAGAGTACTTGAGAGAATCAATCCAATAAAAATTGGTCAAAATAAACAACACTCTATTCATCCTTCACCAATGTTAATTCTAAAAGTTATAAAGCTTAAAATTACTTTAAGATATACTCACACCGTATTAAATTAAATTGCATATTTCTTATACACATGATCAAATTTTATTCAGTTTTTTTACTAATTGTGCCTAGTCATTTGATTAAGTAATATAATCATGTCCTAATTTGTTTTATAGTGATTTTAATGTAGTTTTTAAATATGTAAATTTTATTTTTTAATTTCATCCCAACTCTCGTATATATTGAATTGAAAATAATTGTAATCAAACATCTTAAACCAAACACTCAATTTAAAATGGAAGAGAAGAGTTCAAATTTAAAAATAAGAATCAATAATTAATGAATGTTAACTTATGCTAATCAATAACATTGAAATGAAAAACCAAATACCCGGAGTACAAAAAACCTCATCTCAGCAAAGGTATCAAGATGCAATGGAAAAGTGAGTTACAAATCCATTTACAAAATACTACTCCCTATCTCCCATTTTTAATTGTCTTTTTGTCTTTTTTCTCCGTTCCAAAATAAGTTATTTGTTACTTATTTTCGCAATCTTTTAAGAGTAAAATACTTAAACTACCTCTGAAATAAGTCACTCTTCTCAACCATATCTTCTCATTCATCGTCACCTTTCCTAAAAAACAATGGCAATTTCAGAGAATCAACTCTATATTTTATTTTCCATAAATATACCCAAAAGTCAAAACAGGCAATTTAAAACAAGACGAAGGGAGTACATATTATGGGCCAATGGCTTTACATATTATAAACTGAGCTCTAAATCCATGAGATAAAGGATGTCATCATATACAACTCAGGCGCATTAATAATCAGGGGAAATTTGTACAATTTCATGTTCTGCTGCAATCTATAAACACATACATACAACATAACAATGACTCGACTCGGCCAAACACGATTTGGTCTGGAAAACCAAGACACATTACCAAAACGTTCTATACCCAGTTTTTGTTCCCATTCTTAGAGCCAGCAGTTCCAATCCCAAAAACTGGTTCCAGTTCTTATGTCATCTTACACTGAATATTCAGGCAGTTCCACAGAAACCAGAACCTTATCTGACCCTGGTATGGTTCTGGAACCTAAGTTTCTAGTTTTGAAACCAAAACTTATCCACCCAGTGGCACGGCCTTGGGTCGAACTCTCTCAAATTCAAAAACCTCAAACATGAGGCGCCTTACATCCGGTTTCCCATACACGGCATATGAGAGACCATGAATGGCTTGTTGAACAGAAGTTGTAGCTGGATTTCTCATCCTCCGGTTGTGCTCAAACTTATCTTGCATTACATCACTGTATATGATAAAACGATGCAGATTTTTTTCCCGCAGAAACTTCCCGCAGAATTTATTCATCAAGACACGACGATGCTTCTCCATCAACCATCTTCCAGGGGCATCCAGATGCTTCATAAGCAACCTCTCTGCCATTACAAGGTCCTGGATTTGGAGAAAACCCCACTGTTAAAGCAAAAGCTAAGAGTAGCTAAGCACAGATATAAATGAACTGAAACTGCTTTTTTCCGTGAGGGTAACATATAAGAAGTACCTGGATTTTTTGTCCAAGATATTCCAGTCGCTCAAAGCAAAAACGTGGATGTTCAGCCTTGTACTTTGAGTAATGCAAGAAAGAAAGCTGGATTTTATATCCATTAATTACACGACAAACCCATCATTAGGAAACTTGAGTGCCGGATAAAGAAGCACAAAGCACAAAAGTAAAAATGATTTAGGCTAATGCACTAGGGAGTCAAGTTGTAGGAGGGAGTTCGGTTTTATTATTCCGTAGGTGATTTACACTAATTGTTCATGGTCCGTTTGGTACACGGAAGTGACGGAATTAGAACTGAATTGAGAGTTGAAATTCTAGGGAATTGATTTAGATGGAATTGAATATCTAATTCCAATTCATTTTTGGCACTACCAATTATAAATACACATATTTTTGTGCTACCAAACAGTAGAATTGGAACTGTTGTCCCCAATTCCAATTCCATAGTTTGAATTACATGTACCAAACGGATCCTCATAGTTTGAATATATTGTTTTACCATTACTGTTCATCTTTGAATATTTGATTGTTCTAACCTATATTTATGTTTATTAAACCGAATACCGTCCTGGGTTGTTGTATAGAGGGAATAAAATTAATACCTGCAAACCAAGTCCAAGTTCTATATTTCTGGCCTCGGTGATCTCGGGCATTTTATCTGCATTTGGCAATGGATAACCAAGTGCTTGCATGACTTGAGGCCTAGCCTCATAATCCCATATATTCCCACGAAACCGATGCATGCCAGGTGGAACACATGCCCTAAATAGCCTGGGATGGTGAAAAAGAGCATTTTCTGGAGGCTGGTAAACATGAAGGACAACATCCATTTTAACAGTCCAAATGAATATGACAGTAGTCAAAACTTAGCAACTATTGCAAATGGGACCGAGAAAGTCATCATTGACAACATTTTAGCTTTGGGTGTAAATAATGATCTAAATCAAAATGGCACATTAGATTTCCTTTGCTCCTTACTCGCTTTGGATAGTAAATGCAAAAAATACAACAAGTGTCTGGCGTAAAGAACATCTTTTTTATACAGGGATAAGACTGCGTACATCTTGACCCAAAACCCATCAAAGTTGGGATTATACTAGGTTTTTAATGTTGCTTTTGAATACTCAACTCCTTTGAATAACAATAACAACTAAAAATCATGTTTGAAGCAAGAACAAAGAGAAAGAATAAAAAACAAACAACTCAGTAAAATCCTACAAAGGTAGGGTTTGGGGAGGGTGTGAGTACATAGACCTTACCCCTACTCAAAAGTAGAGAGGTTGTTTTCAAGAGAACCCCCAGCTCAAGTAACACAAAAAGCATGGAGAAAGAATAAAGGGAAAAACATTATAAAGAAAAAGACCTTACCTTGTATGTAGCAACATCTTGCCAGCTTAGCTTGTTACCTTCAAACTCAAGAGAGGTATAGTCGACATCCTCGAGTTGTCTCCTGAGTCTAGGTTGGCAGTCTTCAGCCTCGGGGTCCATTCCAAATATATCAAACAGAACTCTATAAACTTCTGGTAGGCCAAAACACAAATATATTGCCCCAAACATAGCCCAGAATACAGATCTGTCATGATGCCATTACAGCCAAAGTTAATGCTAGAAGCAACTCCACATGGATTGTTATAGTAGCATATATATGACAAAAAACATTCACCAAGCTCTTCAGCAACAAATTGTTAGGCTATTCCGTGTTCGCTTTTCCCCTACTTGTGAAGCCGGCTCAAAACAAGGAACTTTGAAAACCAAAGATAGATAAAAGCAATGGTAAAGGAGACTTGCACAAAAGTAACATGCATTCAGATTAAGTAGAAAATCTCTTCTCATGCATCAAAATGTTAGATATTTGAGTCTCCACTAAACACCTTTTATTGTATAGCCTTTTTTCTTTGAAAACATTGATAATGAGGGTTAAAGAATTGACATTCTTTGAAAATGCAAACCACCATAACTAAAAGGGCCTTATTATCATTCAAGAACCTCAAATGATATAAGGAAAACATGGCACATACTTGACAAGACCTTCACGTTCTAGCCGTTTCAATTTATCCATATCATCATAAGGGAAGATGAAATTTTGCAAACTTGCAGCTTTAATCCACTTCGGTAGAAACCTCTTTCCAATCAGTGCAAAAACTCTCTCCCTCATTGGACCGGGCGGCTCTCTCGGGTACCTCTGCAAGAAGAACTCGCAGAGAGCTAATTCAAGCACATATTCACCCAAGAATGCCAGCCTTGAGTGCCCAAACCTCACGTGTCTTGCATTGTTCTTCTCACAGAACGGGTGTTGGAAGGCCAAATACAACAGTGTATCAACCTGCTTGGCCGGGTTATCATCCGGGAAGCCATCCGATGGCTCCATGGAGTACCCGAGAGCCCGTTTGGCCTCGGGCAAATGCTCGTCTATCCAAAATTTATCATAATTATTAAGCCTCGAAGAAGGAAGGCAAGAACTCAACAAAGGGAAAGATTTTAAGGATAATTGAGGGCTATTGAGAAACCTCTCCGATAATTCCGCATCATCTAGAGGAGGTTTGAGTATGAGCCGTCTGGGCGGCGCCCTTTTCTTGCGGGGAGTAACTTTTCTCCGCTCCGCTAGCTCTTTGAGAAGTCGCTGCGGACTGTTTGGCGGGAGTTGTTCTTGGGAATCTACTGCGACGGCCGAAATTCTGAAATCCGGAGAAATGGGCGTTGAGCTTCTTCTGCATATCTTGAGATGGGTTTGGAGAAGGAGGGGCGATTGTGAGGAAGAGAAGGAAAGGTCAGATGGTTGGAGGTGGAGGACAATCGAGTAGGGTTTGAAGCTTGAACAGAGTTCCATAGTCATGGAGTGACAGATTATGGAATTCATTTTTCCCAATTGACATTGCTGTTACTCGGTTGGGCTAGAAGTTGATATGTGTCGGACTACCTATTTTTATAATTTTTAACAAACTTTTAATTTTAATTTTTTGTATTTGAAATAAAAAATTAATGAAATAAAAAAATTTAATGTACACTTTATTTGTCAAAAAAATCAGTTAAACGGAACGAGGCCTAAGTAGCTAATTCTTTTAGACTGATTTTTGCAACGCTATAGAAAATAAGCTAATTTATCGAGTTTCTTGCATCAATAATATCTCCCTGTCATTTGATAAATGTGCACCGCTACTGGCATAGTTTCAAAACTTAAGTCATATATTATTACGCTAATGCTCTTCTAGACAAAAATATCCTTCAAATATTAGATGAATTGCTCTGCCCCTTATGGTTTTCGAAATGGGCACCAACACCCCCTTTCTTTCTTTCTTTATTGTTTTTCTTCTTTTTCTTCTTTTTCACGGAAAAAGTAAAATGTTTGTGTTGAAAAAATGTAAAGTTGTTTTTCAAAGCATTTTTTTTAACTATTCTAAAAGATAAAAATTGTTTGTGTTTGAAATAAAAAAAAATAAAAAATTTAACTTTACTTCATTTGTCTCAAATTTAATATTTTTTCTTTGACTAAAAAAAGTTCTTAATTTTTGAATCTGTTGACACATAAAAAATACAGAGTATGATCTTTTTTTCTTTTAATTTTATTTTTAATTTAAATAAAAGAAATGTTATAAAGTTACATTTTTAAAAAAATAAAAAAGATTAAAAAAAGAAACTAGAAAATGAACAAAAAATGAGAAATGAACTTTACTGGAAAAGAGAGAAAGTGTTAACCGATAAATACCTCTTTTGTATAAAAAATAAAAATGTTTAATTTGAGACAAATGAAGTGTACATTAATTCTCTTTATTTAATTGATTTTCATTTCAAACACAAAAAAATTGATTATTAAAACATTATAAAAAATAGTTTTAAAAAATAAAACATATATGAAAACAAGGAGAAGAAAAAAGAAAATCAATAAAGAAAAAAAAGAGGGAGATATTCGTGCATATTTTCAAATTCGTAGACGACAGTAGAGTTATTCCCTTATAATTTGAAGGTAGAGGAACATTTATGTAGGAATACCAGAACGAGGGACAACGAAGTTAGTTTAGAAGCAATGGACTAACAGTGCATATTTACCAAATCACATTAGATATTAATACAATAAACTTTCCTAATTGAGGTATGTATAGAATTAAAAGATTGAGACTAAAACATAATGACTTTTCTAAATAGCATCACATGTGTTTTTTTTCAATGTAGCACTTTTAGTCATTATTTAGGTAAATATTCGCCATCACTGGACATTATGGACTTTATTAAGTGATATTTAGGGAATAAAACAGTTTAAGTGCTATTTAGAAAACAATTTATGTTTTTGTAATATTTAGTGCAAATATTACTAAAAGATGGCGCTCATGATTAATGATTATACATTTAGGGGCTGTTTGTTTCAGCCTCTTAATGGTTCAGATGTCTGGATGATTCAGCACTTAATGGTTCAGACTGTTTGTTTCAGCCTCTTAATGGTTCAGAAGTCTGAATGGTTAAGAGATTTGCCTCTGAATGGTTAAGTATTATACAGAGTCTGAATGGTTAAGAGCTCTTATCTGAATTGATCAGACATTTGCCTCTGAATAGTTAAGCAATATACTAGCTCTTAATGGTTCAGACCTCTTACTGGTTCAGCACTTAATGGTTCAGACCTCTTACTGGTTCAGCACTTACCTATTCAGAAGTTACCAAACAGCCTCTTATACTCGGTAGGAACATTACACTACTACGGAGGATCTCTTTTTAGACCGGAATCGGTAAAACAAATTACGCAGTAATACGCACGCACATACGCAAAATTCAACAATTGGGGTAATACTCCGTATATAAATTGACTGTTTAACTAATGAAGCCCTCGCAGGATGAAATATACGTATATCTCACCTGATTCAACTGAGGTGTGTAACTAATTAATTAATTAATCCTAGAGTATTAATTAATTATACCCACAGTATGTAATGTATAGAGCAGCGAATAATAATACTACTACGACTAGTATTAATAAGTCGGTAATTGGCCTAATAATTGTGCAGCTGCTGCTGCAACTTGGCGGCCGGCCGGCGGCTCATGCCGCCGCAGATGATGGTGGTAATAAAGGTTTTGGAAAGGCTATTTTGGCAGGGTCTGGGTGGCTGCTCATCGTTCTTCTGGTCTTGATATGTTATTGTATAAATCGTCGCAATAAAGTAGGCGACGACAGCGGACTCGCCACACCGCCGGCAGAAAAGCCCTAGCTCGCTTGCGCACACCAAAATGATAGAAATCTCTCTCTCTTTTCTTATTTTCATTTGTCCCTTTTTTTTTCTATTGCTAATAATTTACTAATCACATTTACTTTCACTAATATATATTAGTTCATTTGATATCTTTCTCTTTGTTTGATTTTTTCTAGTCCCCAATACAATTTAGGCATTGTTTGGATAAAGAGAGAAAATGAAAGGAGAGAAATTGGGTGGAAAGAAAAGGGGGAGAAGATAAAATGGAGAGAAAATGGAAAGAAAATGATTGTTCTTTGGATAGGTAGAAAATGGAGAGAAAAGATAAGGGGAAAGAAAATAAGTTAAAATAAAAAAACAATTCCACCCTTATTATATATCTTTGTTTTTAAAAAGTGAATGCAATAGAGGGCAAACGTGTCATTTCAATATTTTTCTCTTCATCTAGACAATTTTCTCGGCTCTTGAAACGAGAAATTTTTCTTTTCCCTCTCCATTTTCTCTTGCAAACAAACAAAGGAAAGTTTTTTTTTGGAATTGTGTGCCCCCCTCAAGCCTTTTCTTTCCTTTCAATTTCACCTCATCCAAACACAAGCTTAAAGCATTAATATCTCTCTTGTAATTCTCCCTCTCCCTTCGTATAAACCTTTCTTTTTCCATTTTTTACCCTTCCCAAAAAGCTTTTATACTCCATACTTTATATTTAAAAAAATCATTTTTATCCCATTAATTTTTACCCTACGTATCATATCATATTTATTCATTATTCGTCTACATATCACATTCAAAAAATCATTTTTAGAAAATCAACATTAAAATGCAATCTCCCTAAATCATTTAAAGGTCAATACAAAAAGAATTTTTAGGGACCAAAGAAATTTATACTCCCTCCGTTCTAAAAAGGAGTTTTTCACATTGAAAGAGTTTTCCACGTTAAAATCTCGTGCCTCATATCGCTTTATTTTCCGTGTTTGGATTATCTTGTTGCTTGGTGTTCTTTGGTGTGTTTGTTTGTTGCTCCTCATAGATTCATTCAAGAGGGAAAGGTGTTGATCTTGGGCACTACACATTCATTTGTGTTCTTGCTTTCCCAACATATACCATAATTAATACAGTATGAAATAATCGTAACGATAAAAAACCACCCTTATAATTTCACAAAAGTTTAAATGATTAAATTGTAAATTAATATAGTTAAATATAATTTAAACGGATTTCGTAATGCACCATATCTTTCGAAACTAAATATTATGAAGTCAGATCCGTTGTGACAAAACAAAAAATTTTTTAAAAAAAATTATGATGTTTCGGCAGTTATCCAAGACCGGACGGTCTATTTCAGAAAACAACGAAATCTGAAACAAAGTAAAAATAGACCCCAAAATAACTAATTGAGGCACATTTACAGTAACATTAAAGAGAGTAGGTTACCGCCTTTTTATGGTGACCCCCAGTTTCACCCGTCGTTCTCTCCTCCATCTCTACACCTGTCCTCGGAAAAAACTGTAGAGACCTCAGACAGCAATGAATTAGTAATGCCAGCCACTTCAAGCCCAGTTTCATGAGATGGCTCCGTGTCTTTTCCGTTCACCGCAACAGATTGAATACGTGGGATATGTTCAGCATCCTGTCTCATACCTGTGGTGTCCTCCTCGCAATGGATGGGTTCCTCAGTTTGGTCTAAATTATGTTGGGAATCACGTACCTGGTCACTGCAACAACTGGTACTGGCGAATTCATAGTTCTCTTGGGCAACTGTGATTTGTTGTTCTGCAAGGTCTAAGGATTTGGAACTATTATGTGTCTCCGGGTCGATATTTCCCGAATCGCTATTTGAAAATGATTCGTCCTTTGTCAAATTAGGATCGTCCACTGTTTGGGAAGGGTGAGGTCCACCGGAGGAGGTGGGAATAGACTGGAAAGTGTCCCAATCGTCTTCTTCCTCTTCCAAGGAAATGTCTTCGGATTCTCTTGTGAGAGAACCAGGGGAAGCTTTCTGCTCCGTTTCCTCAACTTGTGGAGGCAGTTTCAAATTTAAAGGTGGTACAATGGGTTTCGACTGGCCTGGATTCTCGTCATGATTCACTGATGCACGAATTATATCCTGAAAGGGAAATATTTGTAGATATCAAAACGCATCACTGATACACAGTAAACATAATGTTCATATCTGCCAATTGAATGAAGACTAGATAGAAACAGTCCTGGATAGAAGAGTTCCTTCAGAAAAAAATTCAAGACAAGTTTATCAAGGTCAAAGAACTACAGGGCAGTACACACAGAAGCCAATTACAAAAAGAGAAATAAAGGGATAGAAGATCAAATTAGAACTATTCAAGCCCTTATATATATCATACAAATTCATAAAAAAAGGATAAGCTCATTCATCTTTTATTAAAACCATGTACAGGTCAATTTCCATCAAAGACCCTGTGTCCGAGATGTGTCAACTTACTAAATAAATAAAGAAGAAATTACAAATATTAGACACAATGTCGGACACGCTACCTAGCGTGTCCTTGATGTGTCCGACATTTATAAAGTCAAAGTCAAAGCCAATTAACAAACTCATTCTTCTTTTATTAAAAACATGTACAGGTCAATTTCCATCAAAGACCCTCAACCTTACACTTCAAATTTGAAACCCCTAGGCCCTAAATTTGATAATCATGATGCACGATTGCATCAAATGATGAGAAATCTTTATACTCACACTGATTTGTAGCCATACAACTACTTGATAATTAGAGATACATTAATATAAAAAATTTGAAATATTATTTTTATAACCTTGCCATTACCTTTTTTTAAATTGTCTCTCTGCATCAGCATGTTAGAACCCGTGCAACATACATCGACATACATCAACAACCCAGAATATTCCCAACTCTGTTGGGGTTTGAGGGTCAAGATGTACGTAAGTTTACCCATGTAAGAAACACGAGGCTATTTCTCTTTTCTTGCAAAGACTTTATAGAAACTAAAACACAAGAGAAGTTAAACGTGCCATTTTGTCTCTCTCTCTCTCTCTCTCACACACACACACACACACTCAAGTTTTTATAGCCTTTCCATGTCACCTTTTAATAATGCGCTAGATTCCCCTGAAATAGATCCAACATCACATCTTTTAGCTATCGCTGAGCCAGATCCCAGTGTTGATAATACACCTATCACTCTACGAAAAGGTGCATTCAACTTCTAACGCTCACTCGAGTTGCAAATTTCTCAGCTACCATCTTGTTCCTACTCCTACCTATACTTTTATGTCACACATTTCTAATGTATATATACCGATTTCAGTTCTCTTCCAAAGTGGCATCATGCTAAGTTGGATGAGAAGAAGACTCTTTATTCTAGCGGCTATGGAAATTCATTCTGCTTTCTCTTGGGAAGTCTGGTAATTGGGTAACGGCGGGTTTACGCTGTAAAGGTTGGTCATGATGGCAAGTCGATCATTATAAAACACCACACCTAGTGGCAAACAAAGTTGCACGCAAATTTACAGTCTTGAATATAATGACACTATGTTGCATGAGCCAAAGGTTCCATCTTCCATGACTGCCCTGAGTCATTAACCATGTGTTTCTGTCTATAGATGCTCACACACAAGTTAAAAGTGAAAACAAAATATAACTAAAAAAAGAATAGAGAGTTTAAAGCTATAACAGCAAACCACAAAAACAAATAGAAAAATATAGTATTATAATCCCTCCGTCCAACAATAATCTTTCCATTGCACATTATGATGCTTGACTGAAGTTATTTTCAAATCATTTTATAATACAAATAGTGTGGAATTAAAAAAATAAAAATTACATATTAAAAAACTACATCAAAAGATCTACAAAACTAGAGGGTACATGATTATATTATTTTATGAAATGGGCATCGAAGATGGATCAAAAAACTGAATAAAGTTTGACACTGTGAATAGTGAATGGGAAGATTACTTTTGGAAGGAGGGAGTAATGTAGTATAAATTTGAATAATACGGAGTAGAATAAAACATCCACTAAATAACATCAGCAAGAATAATAATAATAATAATAGTAATACGCATATAAGCTTAAATAATGATACATCGAACAACAACAACAACAACATAATAATAACAACAACAACAACAACAACAACAACAACAATACTCCGTAATAATAATAATAATAACAATAATATGAGGGGTTTTTTTTCCAATGGAGATAAAGAGTTGTTTTTGATAATGTTAAACCTTTTACTAAATCAAAATATTTTTATGAGAGGTTTTTTTGGGTAGTGAATGCATCAATAGTCTAAGAGAAACAACCTCTTTGTTTTTTTTACGGGGGTAAGTTTTGGGCAGGACTATACTGGGCATGTTATTATCATTGCCGTCTTTTCTTATTAGCACAAGCTACTAAACTTGACACAGTTACCTACACAGGCAGAATTCGTGGAAATGTTCGCAACCACACAAATGCAAAGACAGAACAAATCAAGAGAAGATCAGATAATTACTTGAAGTTGTTGTCTCCTATTTATAGGCATTGACAGTAAGACGTCCTTGAAGTAGACAGTTGAATAAGAAATTTGGGCAAGTTGTGAGACCAGTTTTATAGCCATGATTCTCATCTCACGTGTTCCCTGGAATCAAGTAGATGGTTATAAGCATAAACGCACACCTGTGAAAGTCAGATGAAACAAATCCAAATGCTGTGTGGTTAAGTTATACCTCAGAATGATCATCTGATGATGTAAAAATCAAGAGAATAGTTTCCAAGAGCAGATTCATAAGACCTTTCTGACTGTCGATATGTTTTGATAGTGTCTGGAGAAGCATTAAGATTTTCAAGCATTCTCCAACAATTGCTACCGCTTCCCTACTAATCACTTTCTGCCACAAAATGACAACCATTACAGTTAGTGTGAATGACGAAAGTCAACTCATTAGTCATGCATTATTGCCTGCAAAGAAGTACCTTTAAAATTTTCAGGATTACTGTAATAATGTCTTCCACAAGTTCCCCAACAAAGAATATTGCTAAAGAGTAGGATTCTGCAGTGGCCCCTTTTTGTAGTATTCCCTTTAATAATTGCAAACCAACTGCTTGAACCTGCAGATAAATATGTCAAGTGTTTAAGCACAACTGATGGCCTTCATCTACCATGCAAAATAAGGAGTTACCTGTATCTCAGAATCGCTAAGAACAGTCTGGAAGCATTTAGTGCTATGGCATAATGTGGCATATAAGACCACTTTGAATTCTTGTTTTTCTCTATGACATTCAACTTCAAATGCTGTTTTAGCCAATGAAACACATTGCTCCAAATACATAGCAAGCTTCATGAAAAGTAGTTTTAGCCTATTGGACTTCTTATCCTGGAATTGATGAATACTCTCAATACAGTCCTCAAGTGAACTAGCACTTGCACTGATACAAGCTCTAAAAGTGGCAGTAAAGAACTGGACATCATCATCTCCAAGATGAGGCGCGCCTGTAGTCAGAAGGAAATGTCTAACCAAATCACTAACATCGATAAATTTAGCCTTGTACAGAATCAATAAACTAATACTAGGTTCTTGTGCACAGCATATAAAATATTGGGTTCTACTAACCATTAACATGTATTAAAGGAGTGACGGACTGGAAATAATCTTTCATTCTTGTAAGGAATACATCAGTTGTTGCCAATCCAAGGCATTTGAAACCAACCAATATAAAAGCCAATAGTGACTTTAAGCGCATCTGTACATAGACATCATGGAAAAAAAAGTAATTTAAACCAGTGATGATTTTAGAGCCTTAAAGGTAGACGAGCATAAAACACAAAATTCCTCACCTTTGATTCAAACCGGCTCAGAAGCATCACAGTTGTAGTAAGTACTGAGAATATCATATCCTCTCTATCTGAATGGTATTGAGAATATGCATCACTGACCACAAAAAAGCTAGAAATTATTAATAAACTTCAGGTTCTTAAGCCTCACATGGCCGCAGGCTCTGATCCTATCAACTATTTACAATTTTATCACGAGTGAGGTGTCTAGTACCTTGAGAATTTAAAGAAAAATGCCAAACAGAGTTCTATTGCCAAGTCTGCATATTTCTCTGTCTCTAGGAATTCTTCGGGACAAGATTGAACAATCTGTTAAAGAAGTCCAATGAGGGCATTGGGCAGTGGGGGGGATGCAAAATGAGATACCAAGCACAACCCTCAACCATATAATTATATACTACGTATATAATAAAAGCAATACAATCAAACTCATGCATCTTTTTAACATATGCATCAAAATATAGCTCATTTTTTGCCAATAACGACGACAAATAAAAGCAGAAATAAGTCATTACCTACACAAAGATTTGCATCAGTAGTGTAAGAAATGAAAGAAGGTTGTGTAGTATTTGAATATGAAGAGCATACGGTGAATTGCTGAATTAACAATATTATAGTGAAACAATACTTTGAACCAGAATTTCTCTGATTAAATAACAGTAGGATGCTGTAAATACCTTAGAGAAAACTGGCATTGCAAGAGAGTCCCATACATCATTTGCATAAGTGGTAAAAAAAAAGACCTAAAGCCATTTGGGATTTGAAACAAAATGATTAGGCTGGAAATCAACAGAGAATGTTAGAACTAGTATTTAACCATGAGCTTGATCTAAATTCTCACTTTAAAAATGTCTACCAAACACACAGATCCAAGCGGATTGGTATAGAAGATTAGATAAATTTCATAGAACCTTAAGACGTGAAACATCCATAAATTGCAAAACGATAAAACAATAATGAAGGGCATAGAGTAAGACAACTCTCATTGATATAAAAGATACAAATTACAACTTGATTAATTGCAAAGACTAATGCATTAGGACTTAAGAGTGTTTGCAAGTTAATACTTTCACTTTTGCGAGATAAATAATATCTTATATAAGAAAAAAAATTGTCTGTTAAGTGAAATTTAAGTGTTCGCAAACAAAAAAACTGAAGTTCTTAGTAAGACATAATTAGTAAGTTTTTCAACACTGAGTTCATTATTGTGGAGTATTACCTTAAAACTAGGAGTTTGTAGGTGTAACATTAAATAGGTTTTGTAACCATGATTAAAGCATACCTCATGTCACCCCATGATGTCTTAGCTATTCTCTTTATACCTTTCTATCCTACACATTTGAGATATGCACTAATAACAACTATACCGAAATTTTCTCTGAAAATATCATGATGGAGAGCTATTTTGTTTCAACTGTGAATATCAACTTTCCAGCATGAACAGTTCATTTCCCGACAAACCTACTTCTGTGGTTGCAACTAGAAAACCTGGGCATACCCCTAGAATTACCTCCATTTCGCAATCAACTTCCTGGATAAATATCGTCAGCGGGCAATCCATTCATGCTTACTCCACCAATCTCAGGAAACAAGCTGTTCATTTTCAAGGATTCATGTCAATCCAGGCTGCTGCTTACAACACCGCCACGACATGCATAATCACCATCCTGCATTGCATGCTCCACGTGCTGTCGTCACTTTTAGCGCCTCCGCCACCTTGGTTGGTACTTCTAGCTACCAAACACAAGTTTCCATGCATATGTACTTCAAAAGGTCAAGGTCAAAAAGACTATTTGACCAAAGATAACACCATGTCACTGATAAGCAAAATGAATGTGATAAGATGGATGGATTACTATGCAATGTTTTACAGCATTACAATGATCCCATGTTGCTTTCAAGTTCCAACACATCAGCCATGCCAGACTTGCAAACAGATTTGGGAAAAAGACAGCCAAACTGCACTACCAATACACATAGCTTGTTTTCATATGGATACAAAACTACTGGCTCAAAACAACACGGGTATCCAATACATTATGGACCAATTTCAAGCGACACTGTTTGAATATTAGAGTACTCAACTGATTGAAGAAGGCACAGAGAAACAGTTAGCCTAAAGGCAACAGCTTATAATAGTATTAATACGTGACCAAGAACTGCATGAAGCTTGTAGAGAAAGGAGATGAAGAGGAGAGGAGGGTGATTCAAAACATGTATAGGATTGCAAGGAATCCAAATTAGAGGTGTCGGCAACAGAGACTGCAGCATTTGAACAGATGTATAAGGATTTAGATTAAAAAGAAGGGGAGAAAAAATTGATCCGGTTGGGTAAGGTACAAGAGAAGAGGGCATGGGCTTTGGAATAAGTGAGATGTGTGAAGAATGAAGAAGGGATCCGCAACCATTAAGGAAAGATGGCAGCAGTAGCAAGATGCACATGGGCAGAGCAATATGACAGGACGAGATCCCCATACACTTTTGGAAGTCTGTTGCTAGAGTAGGGATGGTGTGGCTTACTGAGTTATTTAATACCAAGGTATGCTTTTAGACGTTTTAGTGCATTTCTTTTTTCCATAGTAATGGACAAATTGACGCGACATATCAGAGGGGAGGAATATTATTGTATGCTTTTTGTTTATGAAATTGTCCTAATTGACAAGATGCGCAAAGGAGTCAATAATAAATTGGAGGTGTGGAGGTGAAACATGGAGTCTAAACAATTCAAATTGAGCAAGATCAAGATTGAGTATATAGATTGTCATGTGAGTGAGAGCACGACTGAGTCAAAAATAGAGGTGAAGATTGATTTGCAACCCATAAGTAAAAGACATCGGTGTCAATACCTTGGCTCTATCATCCAAGCTGATGGTGAGATTGATGTGGATGTTGTCCATTGGATCAGAGCGGGCAAGATGAAGTGGTGGCTCATTTCTAGTTCCCTGTGCAACAAGAACGTGTCAACAAAACCTGAAAGGCATGTTTTATTGAGTGGTGATTAGATCGGCTATAATCTATGGGGTGGTGTTGCCCACTAAAGAAGACACATGTGCAAAGGTTCGGGTGACAATGATGAGGATCCTGCTATGGATGTAAGGTCATATAAGGATATAGAGATTTCAGAATCAGAATATCCGGTCAAGGATGAGTGGGAGTGACATCTGTGCATGTGATGAGGAGAAGCATGAATGCCCCAATTAAGAATTGCGAGGGGTTAAAGGTAGGAAATTTGAGGGGTTAAAGGTAGGAAATACGTCGAAGAAGAGTTAGGAAAAGTGTATAGTCAACACTTGGGACTTCGGGAGGTCACTGAGGATATGACCCTGGATAAGAGCACTTGACGATCTAGGATTACAGTTATAGGGTAACCATAGGTTAGAGTAGTTTCTCCTCGTGTGGAGCTTTTAGGATTAGTTAGATGTAGCTAAATGTTTGCCTAAGGATGGTTTACATGCTTTAATTTTCCTTTCCTCTGGGTTTCCCTTTATATATAGAACTTTACTAACCTTTGTCTTTGCCTTATGTGCTTTAGTCGAAGGTCTTACCTCCACCTTCTATAGGTAGGAGTAAGGCCTGCGTACACCTACCCTCCTCAAACCGCATTTGTGGGACCTGACCAAATCCTAAAAATCTAATCTTCCAGCAATGCCTAATGCATTTATTAAAAAATTGGGATGCTCCTCTATCTATTGATCAATCATCCAACAATTTTACTATTCTCATCTCACAAGTTGCATGCATTGGGCATGTGATTTTTGTAAAATACAATATTAATACACTTGAGGTGTTGGAGACACATGTCGTAGATAAACCTAGGGAGGACACTTAGAGATGAAAGGCTTTAAAATTATTATAAGATGCACACTCATTAGGTGACATCCCAATTGGAAAGAACATGTCACGAGAAAAATTGACTTAGATGGAGGCTCTTCAGTCTAGTGGTACACGAGAGCATGTTCAACTCTCACTAGGTAAAAGTTTGGTTGGGCACAGGTGGCTCCAGTCAATGAAAGTTGGTCTTGATGGTAACCCTGCTCTACTTGAGGTTCACCTTACTGATCTTTCCCATGGCAGCTATGAGTCCTTGTGTACTATTTCGCTTAGATATTCAATATGCTTCTTTTCATGGTGACTAACATGGGCACAGATGGTGCAACAATCATGTTTTGTTACTCGGGGGAGTCTAGACTTTGTACCTTTGACATCATGAGGGAGTCCAGTCTTGTACTAAGATATCCTAACTTTAAGGTAATATTCCACACTCTCCATCAAGCTGACGTAAAAAAATTATTCATTACAGGCTTGTTAAAAATGTATTCTATTCAAGATCATCTTATGACATTTGTAATAATATCAACCAATTGATCTTTTTATTTCTGGATGAACCATAAATGAAATTTTTTATTTGGGTTGTTGTGCATTCATATTACCTGCAACAGCTCTTGACAGATCTCCAATGTCAGAAATCCTGCATTGAAAAAACTTTCTCTTGGCAAAGCATGAAATATAGGGAATAACGTGTCACAGAGCTTTGATTCTGCAATATTCACATCCCCCTTTTCAGATTTTGCAGAGCCCATTTGTTTCATGCAATAGTGGAGAGATTGATCTTGACCATGAAACAAAGTCATAAGAGAAAAGCCCCACAAAAACTGGAATTCTTCTAACCCCAGCCTAACCATGTTGTATTCAGAGATGCAGGTACTCTGTGAATCGTTTTCAGTAGAATATGACTCCTTGGAGACAAAGTTCCTTGGAACTGCATCAAAAACAACTGCTTGCAGAATGGGGGGCCAGGATTCCTCTAAGCACGGGAGCAAATTAGTTGAAACTAATGGAGATTGAATTCCATCAAGGAATGGTTTCCACTGCATGGAAGAGTCGTAGTTGTTAACCCATATAAGTCAGCATAATACAAACCGAAAAAGATGGCAAAAAATTGCAAAATGTGGACTCACATTTCCATTAGGATGTGAACAGAAGCAGACATAACAGTAGTCTTTCAATACCCCAAGCCAGTACATACCTAGAACGTTTGAACTCTCAGAGAGCAGAGGTAATAGAGATGCATACTCGCCAGATATCTCATTATCTTGGTTTCTCAAGAATGAATAAATATAACATTTTAAAGAGGCGTGAGCTGTTAGAAGCCTTATTTTGATCTGGACAAGTAAGATTTACAAAAGATGAAAAAAGGTTAGTTAATACTGATGAATTTATAGTCTTAACATATTGCTATTTGTAAGTTCACTTCAGGCAAACTATGACCGCTAAGACCAGAGTTAACATACCTTGCATGATACCCACTCTGCAAATGATGGATAGTAGAGGTCATCAAATTCGCTTAGTGGTCGAGAGATCAAAGAAAATATCCGTTTCACAGAGAGTTGGTCATGAGTGATAATTTTGCATGTCAATATCTGTAAATTTTTATGTCATCATGTCAGTAATAGAAAGTGAATTCTCTCTAGAAACTTAAAAACTAAGGCATGAGATAACTTAAAACCTTAGTCGCAAGCTGCAAGCCTGCTTCCAAAAGTATAGGACCAGAAGAAGAGTCCAATGCTGTTCGAATTGCTGAAACAAGTTGTGCCTGTGAACAACATGACATATTCTTCAGATCATTAACATGAGTAACATAGTAATAAAAATCTGTGTACAGGCTAGAATTCAAGGCCTTAATGAAGATGTAGGAAGAGACTCAAGAGAGTAGAGAGAAAATGAAGAAGGTTGTGAAGCTATGAATTATGGTGCTTCCAGATGCTTGCCTTTGCAGGAGCACTGGTTCACAAGCACAACTTGGACTTGCAACAGTCAGAGGAATTTCACCAAGGAACTAAGAAATCGAGTCATAAAAAATGAATAAAATGGCACATCAAACTTCCTTCACTTCTTACGTTCTATAACGATTTGAGTAGTTTATGCAGCAATGCATCAAGAGTCTTACAGAAATAGATTCTCTACTTCTTACGTGGCAAGACTGCCTACATCTTGACCCTCTAGAGTCTAGACCCTAAAGGGAATTTATTGTAATTGTCATCTATGTTACAGGGGTTCTTCAACTAAGTGCTGCTTCCCATCCCCGAAGTATCCCTGTTTGGAGTGTTGGAGAAGTCAGGACTCTCCAATGGATGCATTTGTTACATGTAGAATATCCATCAAATACAAAATGGTCAAACAATTCATGCAGAGAATCCGGAGATTGCTTCAAAGTTCAAACCATATACACAGCACCATAGTCTGGGAACTAGACTCCAAATAACAGAATATGGAGGTTACTCCATGGAGACTTCATCGTGCAGATCACATTTAAAAAGGCATTATGGTTTGGAAGAAACCCAAAAATAACAGCCAAACATTCATTTAAAAAAAGTAGGTTCTTCCCATGTTGGACAGAAACGTGATAACAACCCCTGATTGGGCTGCCAGAATTTGCATGGTTAATAAAATGCAGAGTTCTGCAATCACATGCTGAGATAGAAAATAATTGGATCAATGATTTCTTCCTCAATGTCTCCATTCGTGATTTCCGAAAAAAAAAACGAATGTTTGCATTTGTGGCCTCAACCGCACAAGTCATCATAAATTCATCATTGTAGCATAAACAAAGAAAGGCTAATACTTATTAAACCGACAATAGCTAGCCCAGTATAATCTCAGCTCTTTTGGGTCTCGACAGTGCATACGTATGCAACCTTAACCCAGTAAAAAAAGGAAAGGTTGTTTCAGTTACACTCTTAATGCATTTACTAGTTACTACCAAAACTTTATAAAAAATCATTGACAAAAAAAGGCTAATACTTATCAAACCAACAACAATAGCTAACTCAGTATAATCTCAGCTCTGTTGGGTCTAGACAGTCCATACATATGCAACCTTACCCCAGTAAAAAGGAGAGGTTGTTTCGGTTAGACCCTTAATGCATTTACTCCCAAAAATTCACAAAAAGTAAGAATGTCTTTAAATTTAAGCCAGCACTGTCCTTGCAAATGTTATGAAATTGTAACTTTTGTATGTGTAAAAGCCCAAACCAATATCAAGTATGTTAAACGAGAATTTTACCAAGAAAAAGATGGAAAAAAGATGAGTTAACGTAATGACCTGATATTGCTCTAGAAGGAGGTGTCCAGGAAGCTCGGGATCCTTGACAGTTTCAAACTAAAAAAATATTATAAAAAATATTACATCCAAAAAAATGCTTATGATGATGCAAATGGAAAGATTAAAAGGCAAATAAGGAACTAATAACTAAATGAAAAAATGCATCTTTATAAAGTTTAGAGCAATGACCCTCTGAAATATAATCATCAACCATATTAATAGCTAAATGACAGCATTACCTTGTCAACGATGGTACTAAGGAGTGATACACCGATGTGCCGCATGTTCTCAAATTGAATGGTGCTAATCTACAAGAAGTGATTCCGAGAGATATTTTAGAAATTTCATAGCAAGGAAACCAGTTAAAGATGCAATCAATTTTTCTCACCTGATAAGCCAGTGAAATGAGCTCATGTAAATGAAGAACTAGCCAATCACCAAAGTGATGTCCGCTTGGAGGCTTCTGTCTCGCTACATCAAGGTCAAAATGAGCAGGACTCTTTCCAACAGCCTCCGGTATATAACCCAAGCATCTGAATTGAAGAATGAAAAGCTGCATGACCATTCTCTCTCATGCAAAAATTTATGAACATAAAAGAACACACTGGAAATGTTTGTTGTCTTACTCAGCGGCAAAAACCTTTGTCCGATATCTAAGGTGCTTGCCTTTGGAATAAATGCTGGCATTAACAGAAGCAAAACTCTCAGCAGATTGGCTTTTGGAACTAGAGACCATGTTTTCCTCATCTCCACCAAAATGCATTGTTGTCTCAGCTCCTGGACCACTCAGAGCACTCTCAATGTTACCACTAGTCTTGAGATCCCGTGATGATAAAGCAAGGATCTAGATAAAAGTAAGAAAATGTCAAAAACATAAGTTATCATTCTGAATCCAATATTCCAATGGAATTAGCAGTTTCCCTTATAATAATAACATCATTTACAACAGCACAACCAATACTAATATAAAAACAAGCAACTCAACCATTCTGTGATAGCTCTCATCCCAAAGACATTACATGACCCTACCGTGAGGGACTTTCGGCCAATTTCATGCTCTAATGTAGTTTACAAAGTTATTGCCATAATTTTGGCAAAGAGGATGTCTTGTCTGCTGCATACTATTATTGATCGTGCCCAGGCTGCACTTGTTGGAGGACAGAGCTTGGTTGACAACGTACTTCTGGCTCAACAGTTAGTCAAAGAGAATGCTGTGAAGAGGCTTCCCCCCATATGTATGCTTAAGCTTGACAACACTAAAGCTTACAACACCGTTTCCTGGGAGTACCTTCGTGTGGTGATGTTCGGGATGGCCTTTCCTTTGAGGTTTGTTGACTAGGTTATGGAGTGTGTTACCACGGTCTCCTTTTCTATATCCCATAATGGTGGTCTGCATGGGTTTTCCAAAAGAAAGAGGGGACTCAGACAAGGAGATCCCATGGCATTCTCTTTTTTGAGTAAGGACTGCAGACCCGGCTTTTAACTTCCACCCCCCAGTGTGGTCAACTCGGGATCTCAGACTTTGCCTGTGCGGAAGATATTATGCTTTTCTCTTGTACGACTTTATGTCTGTGCACATATTTGTTGATGCTTTACGTGAGCTTTCTGCAGCCTCTGGTCTTCGGGTCAACCCCCAGAAGTCCCAATATTCCTGGCAGGCCTTGTTGGTGATGAGTACGATGGCATCTTGCGTATAGTCGACTACCCTCTTGGTACCCTACAAGGATACAAGTACAATATCTTGGGGTCGCAATAGTCTCGCAGAGGGCAAAGGGGACGATACCCACGCATTGAGAAGATTGCTGACTTTTTTCATCCTTGGAACTCCAAGACCTTCTCCTACGCTGGACAACCAGATCTGTCATTAAAGGGGTGGAATCCTGGTTGCAGGCTTTATCTGTGCATAAGTATGTCTTGAAGAGGATTACCACTTCTGTGGGAATTTCCTCTGGTGGGGGGGGGGGGTTGCTAAGGTTGCTTGGGCTGATATCTGCAAGCCTAAGTGTCGGAGGGGTGGCCTTAGCCTTAGATTGTGACGTTTGAAAAAAGGTGTTGCTTGTGAAGATTTTGTGGAACATTCATGAGAAGAAGGATACACTATGAGTAAAGTGGTTATTATCCCCGGGGACGGTCAGTGTGAGAGTGGAATCCACACGCGATTCACATTTGTTCAAAAAGTTGACGGAAATCTGTGACATTATGCTTCTTAAGACTGGGGGGTGGGCCATATAGGTATGGTGCTACATAGCCTCTGTGTGAATGGGAAGCTTGACTTTGGAAAGGTTTATGATATGTTTGGGTGCAGGGTCAATCTTTTCCATGGATGAGTTTCATTTGGCAGACTTATATATATACCTCTGAAGTTCTCGTTTACTCTTTGGTTTGCTTTGTGTGGCAGACTCCCCACAAAGGTCAACCTAGCCTTCATTGATATGTCACGAGAGTGCAGTCTTTGTGGAGGGGGCAATGAGGACACTGAGCACTTGTTTTTTGGTTGTTCCATTGGAGCGCTGGTCTGGGGAATGTTCATCATTGGCTTGGCATCCAGGCACAAGCTCACTACTTTGAGTCGGGCAATTAGGTGGCTACAGAAGGGGTACCATGATAGTTCGGCTAGGAGGAAGGCTGCATGATTGCGTGCACTGTCTATTGCATTTGGAAGAGCAGGAAGGAAGCACAAGGATGTATATGATCTATTGCACAAGGAACACATCAAATTATAATAACACCAAAATTTTTTTAAATAAATAAAATTCACTAATTTGGTTATATGTAACAACATGCTTTTAATGCATTATAAAGAATTAGAGTATTTAATGCCTCAGGCGGTGTAGAGAATTTAGCACAAGATTACATATTTTAAACTCTTCAAGTTAAAAGTCAAAAAAATATTTAATTCATACAAAATAATATTATTATAATAAATTATGAATAATCAAAAAATTGAACTCTAATGCCAACATTAATTATACTAACTTTTGATCATTACAAGTACAAAAATAATTTAAATTAAAAATAAAACAAGTTGTGGCTTGGTGATGCAAGTTGCTAAATATAATCATAGTAATAAACCAAAAAAGTCAATAAAATAAATAAATGAACCAAAAGTGATGAGTCAATAGAGTGGAGAGACATCTTAAAATTGAAGGAGAGGAGACGGGCAGATTTGAAGATTCAGGGAAAGAACATATCTCATGAGCACATCCAATAAGGCAACTAGCACATATGATGCTCTAAACTTGCTGAAACTGTATTCCAAAGAGAAATATTGAAAAAAGGGATCAAATCTGGGTTAATGAGATAACCTTGCGGCGATATTTGACCCTGAAGTGACGACAACAACCGAAGAAAACAATGATGTTGCATCCCGCACGATGTCTCCAACAGAGCACCATATCACCCATGCAATGGTTAGGTGTCACCGTGCCATTTTAGATAATAATAATAAGCTCAACAACATAGAGAATGAGAGGGAAAGAAGCATGGGCATGGGATCTGGATGAGGACTCGGAGCTTGTATTGATATAAAAATCACATAAAAGTATAAAGCTCAAATTCTACATCATGCATTAACGAATAAATATTTGACATTCTTCTGCGTGTTCCATACAGACCAAACCTTGCATGTATAATCGAGTTATAATATGCCATCAAGCACAGAGAAAACATTTTTACCATCTTGCGGCATATTGAAAGCCACTGAGAAGGACATGATGGGCATGACTCATAGAGCAAACGCATGATTGTAGTACGAGCTAACCGGCCAATCCTGCAGAACAATAACACCCAAATTCAACCAACTGGAACATAGAAAGGCAATTTACACAAAACATGACAAAGACTGCCACTGTACAGTTTTTCCTACAGTAATTGTCCTTGACTGATCACAAAATGTCTTCCCGCATCATCAAAATATCAAAAACGTGCTACTAACATTTTCAAAATCATTAACAAGCAATCAACTTACTCAGCATCAGTTTCCTCATCAAGCATATGGAACAATGCAACTTCTATTTGTTCATTGATGACAGAGACCTGTAAAAGACATGGCATTATGTTTGTGTGTGCACACACATACACATCCATATATGTACCCTTTTTCCATCCCATTATATTGTGCTTACATTGACTAGACACAAAGATTAATAAAGTTTAATTAAGGTTGAGATTTATCAGAAAACAAAGCACTACGAATTGAATAATGCTTTCTATTAATAGAAACATGCATAATAAATTGGAACAAACAAAAAAATAGACAAGATAAATTGAGATAGAGAGTATAGTGATAAGAACAAAAATAATGAAAGGAGATTAATCTTTTATTTTTATAAAATGAATACATGGGTGCTATATATATTCTCCCACAGTCCGAAAATAAGAATGATCAAATGTTACTAACTTTGATCAAGAAAAGTCAAACAAAAACTAATTTTGGGACAAAGGGAGTATAATTTAATGTAGGGTTTAAAATTACTAATATAAATATAGATGGACTATGAGAGGGTTAGGCAACACACTAGCTATTCAATGTCAATACTTTATATGACCCCTTTAGCAACTCGATTCGGCTAGTACTCTTTTTAACTTCTAATTTTTAGGAAAATCTTTTACATTTCACTAACTATAATTATGTGCATTTTCACACCGCAAGCTTACAACAAGAACATGTGGCAAGGGTGGGTAGAACACTTCGGATGTGTAGCATGAGGTTCCAAGTGTGAAATCTAAGGTAGAAAATTTTACAAAAGCACTAGAAGTGTCTAGAACCTCTCTAACATCAGCCAGTATGAACATGTACATTTTAACCCAATAGAGTATCAACATAGACCACTAGCCAAGTGGTTGATAATCCCAAAAAGAGGAATGAAATTAAGGCTCTATTTGGATGGAGAGTAAAGGGAAATCTTATGGAGTAAACAAGAATAAGTGAAGAATCATTGTTTGAAAGTTCAATCTTACACGTCATTTTGGAGTGTTAGAAAATGGAAAGTAAATAGGTGTAGATGGGAGTAAGTGTGACTCATCACTCTTACGTATCATCCAAAAAATCACCAAAATAAGGGTGGGGAGGAGTACTCGCTCTTGCGTCCCTCCGATAAATATCCAAAACAAGGGTAGGAAGGAGTACTCACTCTTACTTACCCTCCAAAAATATCTCCAAAACAAGGGTAGGTTACAAATTGCAATAAATATTGTATCATGTAAAGTCATTTGGATTAAAAACAAGGTTGTGGAAAAATTGCTCAGAGCACTGAGGCGGATTTGGGTCAGCATGTGGGTCAAAAAGCATCGCAGGTGTTGCTTAATAGAGATTGGCAGTTCGACAAAAGGTTGTCAGGGAGAGAGGACAAGATCAGTGCCTGTGGTGTTAGATAACAGCCTGCACAGCTTGTAGCCTTGTAGGTCTCTGTTAATGGCAGCAATTTCCAAGCTCTGTGGTTGCAGGACAGTTTTGATTATTATGGAGATGGTTCTTAATTGATATTTTTCCAATAAAGTTATGAGATGCTCTGTAAATGATGAAAACAATGCCTAAAAAGACAAATAATAGCCTAGAAATTTCATTTACCATAGGGAGAGAAGAAAATGAGCAGAAATATGTCTTGATGATTGTAGACTGAATATAAGATTCCCTCAAGCTGATATCATAAGATTCCCTCAAGTTGATATCATAGTCTCGGTACGGGTAGCTCCGATAGAGGATAAGATATGTCAATTAAGGTTGAGGTGGTTTGGGAATGAACAAAGGAGTATTAATGACTGTTAGAAAGTGTGAGAGGTTTGTGGTTGGTAGAGATAAGATTAAAATGAGGTGGTTAGAAAACACTTAATGCTTCCATACCTCACCTAGCACATGAGCTTAGATAGTAGAATATGCATATTGAGTACTAGAGTGAGGTGGGCATGAATTCTTAACTTCCAACTCCTTCAAGTTTCTCCAACTCTTTCTAGTTTTTCTAAATCCTTCCAAATTCAACTAACTCCTTTTTTTTCCAACTCCATCTATTTCTTTTAATCCTTCCAGTTTATACCAAATTCCTCCAATTCTTTCCAACTCCTCTAGTTTTGTAAAACTTTTGATGTAGTTTTTGTGGTGGTCGAAGGCAGTACTGTGTGAGGGTGGTGCAAATTGATACACGAATGGGTTGGTTCGGTAGAAGGGTAATTTGGGAAAGTCAATGCCCTTTTATCTTGTACAAATATGCCAACCAAGTCAAAACGGGAAGATAAAAAATGGACGCAGGGAGTGTTACAGTAGAAAAGCACATTTGAAAAAATATACTTCATTTGCTCAAAAACAAAAGATGCAACAGTCAAACTTTTACACTATTCGACCATTATTATTTGCCCATCTTTTGTGATATATACATGAGGGGAAAAAAGTCATGTGAGATCTTGGTATATTCCTCTCAGTTTATGCTTTCATAATATCAATATTTTATCTTAACATAACAGAAGATATTAAAGATTTACATTGTGCATTGACAAACGAGAAAAACTTAATATTGCAACTATTTTAGAATGAAGGAAATATTATTCTTTACATAGTTCTCCTATTAATGATTTACATTGCACATAGATACAAATTTCAAGTCACTAACCGGATCCTTTTCTATGAGATGGCATAGGGTAGACAGAGCAAGATGCCTGAGTGTCGGCTGTTGCAAACAAAATCTATGAGATGTATCATCCACATTTGTAAAATGGACGTGAAACATTTACTGATCCTCATGGGAGAATGGAGGGGCAGGGTGGTGGAGATTACCTGTCTTGAGGAGAGCGTAGGGAGGAGAGCCTGAATGTGGGAATGCACACTAACAGCACGTGGTGCAAAGAGTACTAATTGCTGAGTGAAGTGGACATTCCTGTTATACAAAAGAAGAAATTTCAAGATGACTAACAAAATAAAACATAGATAATATAGAAATAGAAAAATTAATTCTCCACTCTGTTCGAAAATTAAAATAGAAAAAGGAAACATCATTACTCCAAGTGTGCTTACTCGAGAAGTGTTGATGTTTCTTGCCTGGAGCTAATTTCTGCAATGACAGACTGAAGAGGAACACATATACAAGATTAGTTTTTCATTAACTCCTTTGTCCCGAAAATAGGACCCAATTAACGAGATAGGCCGGAGTGACAATCACATCATGATTTAATTTATAATTGGGTTAGGATCAGTTAACTAAATCATAATGTACATGACCCAAACCTAGTATGGACTGAATCAGATGGATTGACTAGCATAACACAATGCGTTATGAACTCATCCATCTCTCTTTAATATGTCAATGCCAATTTTTTAGACTTGTAATCTAAGTAACCTACCTTGCAGCGGGAGAAGAAAATACTTCCAGGAGCTAGATCAGGACCAAGAACTGCAACAATAGCGTTTATAAGGCAGCCCACACCTTGTTGAAGCTCAATAGAGCAAACCTCATTGGACATAAGAACATCTATAGCAAGGCCAAGTGTTGCCTAAAAAGATAGTAAAAAGAAAAAATGAGCATGCTTTTTGGAAAGACTGAAAGAGAAGAAAAACTTCAACTCAAACACCTAAACCAACTATAGTAATCCAAAAATAAAACAATATTATATTCCAATTCTGAACCAAAATATAGTGAAGTACTGTAGGACTCATGGTACATTCATATCCTTGTATACTTTGATCGGATATGTAGTGATAAAGATAGCAGGGTCTGAGGGAAGGGTGAGGAGAACAAAACTCATTACAGAAGTTCACTTTAGTGTCCAAGTCTAACATAACATATCAGGGAAGGTCCAAGGAGACCATAAGCATAATAGAGGCAATTTCTAGTTTACAGCAGTCCAGCTACACTTAGGGGTGGGCTTTGAGGGAAACCACAATAACAATAGCAGGAAACGAAAAGAGTAAGCTTAGAGATACACACGCATGACAACATGAGGATTTTGGAAAATAATTTTGGTTCAAAGTTAACTAAACAGCAGTGAATCAACAAAAACCATGCAATTATTTCCTTAAAAGAAAATGAGAAAATTATTTAGAGACAAACTAAAAAAGGGGAGGTAAAAGGGTGCCGAGGGAGTATTATATTTCTAAATCAACATCAGAAGCAGTTTTATAGATTTTTGAAATTCATGGTAACTGATCTCTCCATTTGACTCTTTGCCCTAAACTGCTTGATTTCTTCTTTCCCTCTCAGAGTTTCGGTAAACTAAAAGTATGTACCTCAATCAATGAAAAACAATTGAAAAAACTCGTCAATTTTTTGTGGCAGGCAATTTTTATAATATAATTTCGAGTTGCCAATCTATTGTAAATTTGTGGGAGACTAGAAGTATGCAATGTATCTCTTATAATGCCAAAGGATGTATCCAAAAATGAGGACTTAATGATAACAACAGCTACATACTCACTCTGTAACAAATTTATCTTCCACGTTTGATTTTAAAATTAAGGAATATAAATTTTGGTTGAGATTCATTTTAACTTTTAAGAGAAAAAACTAATATGAACCGCACAATTTTTCCATAAAAAAATATGAGATCTTTATTTGGGGATGATCCAAAAAGAAAAGAGAGTGAAGATCTTTATTTGGGGATGATCCAAAAAGAAAAGAGAGTGAAGATAAAGGGCACCAAGGGAGTGTGAAATTACTAAACCAACATTAGAAGCAAGTTTAATATAGACTTAAAATACATGGTAGATGATGTTTCCATTTGATACTTAGACCTAAAGTGATTGACTGCACCAAGATTTCTTCTTTATACCTCATGAATTTAGCAAACTAATATGTTATTTTGGGTTGGATAAATAGAGTTGAATGTTGGAAGAAATTGAAATGAGTTGGAAAATTTGGGAGTTGGAAAAACTAGGAGTTAAAAATTATGAGAAAACTTGTTTAGAAAAAGTTGAAAGAAGTTCGGAGAAATATTACTCCCTCCGTCCCACTGTTGTTGTCCTATTCACTACTCACAGATTCAAACCAAATATACTGTCTTTACATATTTTCATGTTTTGTAAAACTTTTGATTTAGTTTTTAAATTTAAATTTTATTTTTAAGTTCTACACCAATTTTTAGGTAAATTCCATCAAAAAAAGTTTGAGTCAAACATCATAACTGAAAAGGGACAAACATAGCGGAAGGGAGTATTTTTTTATATGGTATTTTTTTATTAATATAACTTACTCCCCTTGTTTCACTATTTGTGTATCTCTTAACTTTTTATAATCTCTTCATCCCATAAAAAAGATTTTTTTGTTTGACCCAGAAACTGGTTCCTCTTTCACATTGAGGAAGAAAATGTGTTATTCACACATATTCTCTCCCCTCTGCACAAAACTCAATCACACACTTTCCCATACCACATTAGGAATATTCATGTGACTCACATTCACTCTTATACTCCATTCATCCCAAAAACAAATTCCCATTTCAGTTTAGGATTATTGCCATAAGTTAATTTTAAGGGTCTGTTTGAAAAGGGGGGAATTGAGGGTCATTTTCCCCACATTCTCGTGTTTGGAAAAGCAGTGAAACAGAAAATGAAGTGAGATCAAATGGAAATAGAAGTGTACTTAGCAGAATTTGAAGTTAGAGAAAATAGCTAGGAGTTGGAAAAACTAGAAAGAGTGGAAGAACTGGAAGTTAGCAAAACTAGAAAGAGTAGAAAAAACTTAAAGAGCTGGGAGAAATCAAGAGTTGAAAAAAATTGGAAAGAGTTGGAAGGAGTTGGAAGACAATATTTCTAACCAAAAAGAGTAAAATCAATCAATTAATAACAGTAAAAAACTACTCCCTCCGTCCCAGAGTATTTGTCCCCTTTCATTTTTACACACCATCCAATGCACTTCTTTAATCCATTTTATCTTGTAATTTGTATATTAAAAAATTATAGAAATTATATATTAATTATCTATATGTTAAGAGAAATCAAACAAGATCACACATTACTATATTTAGGCTTACACATTGAGAGAATTTGATGAGTCAAAGTGCTTAGATGAATAGTTCCAAAAGTCAAAAGTGGACAAAACCTGGGGACGGAGGGAGTATAATTTTTGTGATGGGCACTTTTCTTATTAATTTTAATTTTAAGAAATCACCCCAAATAAAAGTAAAGGATAGCATTTATCCTTAAATAGGAGTTTCATGTGTTTATCCCCAAAGTAGGAGTTCACATTGTGACATAATGGCACTATATAGTGGCATCTCAGTGTAATTTTTGGTACTATATATATTGGCATTGTACTCCTATTTTGGGGATAAAAAACATGGAACTTTTATTTTGGTACTTTCTCCAAGTTTTACTCCTAGTTTAGTCTTTTTATCTTTTAGTTTCCAAATCTAGTATGAACTATGAAGTATGCAACTCATCAAACCATGGATTCATGCCAATCCCTATCCAGCTATCCGTGAAATTTTACTAGGTTGGTTGTCATTGTTATTTGCATTCATGCCAATAGAACTGCCTAACATCTTAACCAGAGCCCTTTTTCAATGAAATTGGACGTGGAACAAAAGATTGTGTACCTAAAATTTAAAGCTTGAACAATTTATCATCAACAAGTCTCCATATGACCTTAGATATGACTTATGAGCATATGGAGAGCTAGGATTAGAATAGTTGGGTAGGCGTTTCGAGCTAGGTGGTAGTTTTCTAGACTTGTGTTCTTTGTTTGCCTTATGTGCTTGGTACTCTCTGTTTGCAGTACTTTTCCTTCATTAACATTAGTTCGTTCATTGCCTTAGTGCGCTTTGGGCTTTATCTGTGCTTTCATTTCTTTATTATGTATCTCATGAAATCTTTTGTTACTCTTATCATCTTTTATTATTTTTGCTACTTGAGCCAGGGGTCTCTTAGAAACAGCCTCCCTACTTTCAAGTAGGGGCAAGGTTGTACACACAAAATCCCCAGACCACCCTACTCTTGTGGGATCCAACTGGGTTGTTGTTGTTGTACTCTTGTGTATGAATGACAATGAAAGACAATAGATGTACATCATCGTACTACATATCAGCCACCATAGTTAGATACCTGAACATGAGACACATAAGACAAGCCAGCAGCTTCAATTGTCAAGAGAAGTCCATGCAAAGACCAGATTTGCAAGCAAGTGATTGAACTTTTAGCCAGAGAAGACAGTGTGTTCACAGTTGCAGGCACTAAACTTGACAATGCCATTCCCCCTGCACTGAAACCAAGATCAACAGCATTCAGTCATCCACAGGCCAGAAGAACAAAAAAATATTAGGAAACGCAAAAACAATACAGCGCCTTGTATAATTATTCAGATTGCGATAAAATACATTCACAATGAAAGTCCACTTCCAGCTGTAACTAGTTTTGTATGTAAATTGAAGACCAGTGTGTCTGTATGAAGGATAGACACCAATGGGCAAGGGAATATTTGGTGATCTTTACAGATTTTTTCGAGCTTCTTCTGTTGACATTTATGTTTTGTAGTATAGGTGGCATGACGGAAGATTGATTGATTGGTTGATTAGGGCACCAATAATTTTTTTTATGTTACACTTCACTATGTATAGACATTCTCATAACAGAGAAGGCATCTGAAAATTTTATAATTATTGACAGCTTTTTAGTTGGGCAAGACTCAAGGGTAGTTTTGCCTGCGAAGTGTAGTCTTCACTTTCGGACTCTTTTCTCTTTCAGAATGAAAATTCTAAGACAAAACGAATCAAGACCTTTAAGTCTCTTGACTACCTGCGATGAATGCAACCAAGCGCAAGGGCAATCGAAGCAGCGTAATGTGAATCTGCTGTGCTATTTACATCATCAAGGAATGATCTTGTCTGTGATAACAAAAACTAGTCAGTTCACATCATGAGAACGCACAAAGGTAGAAGACTTGAACACAATGTTTGTGAGTCAGCAGCAGAAAATAGCAGTCACTTCCCCAGAGATGAAAATTTGAAAAGGAAACTTTGCAACAAAATGAAATTGTTAGTTTGTACAATATGGCAAACTTTACATGCAAATTTAACAGCAAGCAGCAGAATGCATAGAAATTACGTTCTAACCAATTTAGCAGTTAAGACATCATTCCCAAGTCGTGCTAGCAACCCAAGACATTCAGACAGTGCTCTACGTTGAGATGAGCTGATATCACCCTCAGCCAAAATCATCTGTCAGGTGATACAGAAGTATATAAGAAACAAATGAAAAATAGACTGTCCCGCAGTGAAAACTTCCAGACTGAAAACAAATGACATCAATGTACGATAAGCAAGAACCAATAGCAGAAAACCTGAAAAATAGACTGTCCGGCACTGAAAACTTCCAGACAAAGGGGCTCAGGACGTAATGCAAGCAATGCCTGCACCAACATTGATATCAAATACTTCCTCCGTCCCTAAAAGATTTTCCCCTTTCACCTTTTTCCCGTCCTAAAAAGTCTTTTCAATATTACCCATACTAATTTTTACCCTACCTATCACATCATATCTATTCACTACTAATCTACTTTTACCCATCACATCAAGGGTAACCTTGGAAAGTTAAAGCAAAAAATATCCCTCCCTTAAATTCCATATAAGTCAAGGGGAAAGAGTTTTTGGGAAGAAGGGTGTATATTACAGGCCGTAAAAAATTTGCTATATCAAAGTTGATTATAAAAAACAAGGCTTGAAAATTCAAAAATTAAAAAAAAGGCAAGAAGAAAGCTCATGAAAACCTTTAATCCCGCAAGTAACCCAACACATATATTAGTAACATTAGCGGAATGCCAAGCTTGTTTCTTTCCAGCCTTTAGACATTTCTCAACTGTACCAATAAGTGCAAGCATGCCCGTATTATCCTGGGATGAAATATAGAATTAAAACTTACAAATAGGAGATGCTTCCACCAAGATAGCACAATATGGGCTAAAAGGCAAACCTTAAATTACTACCTACCTGGGAAGCAAACATGGTTCCAAAAGAGAGAAGCATTTGATTTACCAAGGATTTGCTTATTGTATCCGGCTTCAAGATCATATCAGAATTATTAGTTCATTGTCTACAAGCAAGTCATTGAAAAACCTGCAATGGCACAGAATTTTTTTTGTTGAAAAACGGAAAGGGGATCAAGGGATGATTTACCTGAGGAAAAGTGGGGGGCTCATGTTCCCAAACACAAGGCAATAAGCCATCACTCCCCCCTTGGAATGAACGAAGTTCATCTTCCAACCAATCACTGTGTAAAATAAGCAAAAAAGTGACAGCCATTTACTCAACTGAATTCACATCAGCACCTCATGATCAAGAGAATGGCATATTGCTATAAAGGATAAGGGAAATGTTTATATAGTCACAGGCAGAGACCTTCCAGGGTTCCAAGGACCAAGCCATGCGTCTCTCTTGTCTAGAAGCATGCGCAAGCACGAACTTTCTTCAAATTTAGATGCTTCCCTGTTGTCATTCTCATATAAATATTTAAGATCAAAGTTAGCCATATTCTCAAATAAAGCATGAGATGAAGCCTGCTGTAACTGAAGTGAATTAAATGGTAAAATGGGCACTTTAAAATAATGGAATATTGTAGATTACCTAAAAGGTGCTGTACAAAGATAAACAATATGAGCATGATCACTTTTATATGCATTTGGGTCAGAAAGGGACTGATAGGCCTGCAGTGTCTTGATGATTAATACATCCACTCCGGGTTTTGCATTACTGTTGTCTCTAGTCACCAATTGTAATATGCAGGAGAGGGCCCTGCTTCGACATGGAGTCCAGAAAAGTCAGTTTTTAAAAATACACTAATTTGATACTTCTTCTAAACCTTCTTATGAGTCCATTTCAGAAACTCTGTTGCGAGGTAACTCTCGGAAGTATCAATATTTTGGAAACCAAAACCCCAAGAAATCATTTATATTTTCTGGCTGAAAGTAGAAAATATATCTTTCCGTGCAGTTCATTTTCTAGGACATTGAGAACAAGTATGTTACAACTGTTTTGTATAAAAAGCAATCTGTTTAATAGTAATAATAATAAATAAATAGATAGATAGATAATTCATATAATAATAATAATACTTATAGCAATTACAAAGAAATACAGCAAACCCAGTATCATCTCAACTACGCTGGGGTTTGTAATTAGCGTCGTGTTTTGGATAATTTTTTAATGGTGCAAATTATCTTTGAAAATGGCAAAATGCTAATGCTAAAAGCTACCATTGGATAGAATTTTCAAAACATTAAAGCTTAATGATAAAACTAAAGAAAAACGTACTCCATAATGAGTAATTACTAACTTTATGGCAATGGTTGGGATGGCAAAGAGTTGGTGACAATGATAAGGTAGTGAAACATGTGACATCATTATTATACTGCGGTGAGGGAGTAACAGCGGAATGTGTTGCCAGTGTAGGTTGTTTCTTATAAATATTTTTCAATTCTTCTTGAATACACTCCCCTTGTCCCAAAACAAGGTTCCCATTTGACTTTTTAAAATCAAAATATGTAAATTTCAGTAATAAAATTGAGAAAAAACATATCAAATTTTAGTTAAAGTTAACATCATTAGATTCATCTTAAAATAGATTTTTGAAATATCGTATTTTTATAATACTTATATATGCCTAATGGATTGTGAATGTCTGTGTGGTGTTTTTACAAATAACAAATACATTAAAACAAATCAAAATATATAATATGTTTACCTACTAAGATATAGTTGCACTGGCTGAAGTAGCACCCCCTTATTCACATCAAGAGAAGAAAGAAAGTGTTTTATAAACACCGTCAATGCATCCATCGCAGCAGACCATACACTAGAGGAACATAAACCAGAAGCTCATTTAAAATAAAAAGAATTTGACTAAGAATATGCACAAACAATAACCAAAGAGATAAAGAGCATATAAGAGTGCAACAAAGAAATAAGAATATAAATGATTTTAAAAACATAATGTTATTTCTTCTGAAAGATGTAGGATTCTAAACAGAACAGTGTTACTAGCACTGTATTTAAAAGACCAAAGTTTCTCACAAAGCATTAGAGCTTGACACCATCAACTACTTTCCTAGAAAAATTAACACCCTACGTCCCTATTTAATCTTCCCACTTTCCTTTTTGGATGTCCCTAATTAATCTTCTCATTTCCTTTTAAAGAAAAAATGGTATGGCTATGGTCCACATCTATTCTCTCTCCTCTGCCCAAAATTAAATAGGGACAGAGGGAGTATCACATAATTACATCTAATGGCATTGGCTCATGCATACATGGTTATTCACATGTCTAAGACCAATCTCCTGTGTGCAATAAAAAGTATGAGTCCTCTACAATGCAATCTATACTTGATATTTAAAAAACTAGATGACCAAAAAGTACCAAAAAGACTTGGAATATCCTACTCAGAAATTGGCTCTAAGGGCAAGAAGCCTTAGAACTTACATCTACCATGAAAAGTATATGCTATTTTCAAGAGGATCTCGACAAACAGTGAAAAGTAGTGTGAGGTGAGCAGCATAAAGGCACGAAACAAATCATGTAAGAAAGAAAGTAAACAAATGAAACAAAAAAACGCTAACTTCTATCCAACAACATCAATCAAAAGAGAGCTTAAATTCCTTAGAAGGCCCAACCCCCAAGAGCACTTACACACAACCCTAAAAGGACTCCAAAACTCTAAAACAGCACCTTCAGCATGCACACTAAAATGTAGGAGACACTATTTACACTGAACAAAAAAGATTTCCAGTTTCTTCATAATCTAAATTGCTGTTCACTATTTATTCCTTCAGAACATAAAATCCCAGGGTTTTGAATTCTGTAGATCCTAAATACAAACAAAAACAATATTATTTAAAAAAATACATTAAGAGAAAACAAACGTTGATGTGATATTAAAAAACACGTGTCTTGGAGTCCGTAAGTGAAAGTTAAAGGACAATGTATTATGGTGGCAATCTTAATATCCAATAGCCACGCTATAAATAAACAAAAAATAGAAAATTGACATATTTAAAAAAATTAACTAACCATAAACTAGACGGAAAATCTAATGCATCACTAAAATGGTGTTCTGGATTTCCGCTGAACACAGATGCCCATAGGGAAAGAATATCAAAAACCTCCTCTTCAAGCTCCTGCATCCACCACTGTGAGCATTAACAATAGCCATTACAGAGCTTCACAGGAAAACAAGACATTTTTAATACTGCGTACCTGTTTTGGCATGGAAGACAGTAGCGATGATAAAAGCATCCATCCAGCTTCCTTTTCAACAGCAGCTGAAGTAGGGTTCCTAGTAGACTCTAACAGCATTTTCTTGGAAACTTCAAGAACAGAACTGGGCATTCTGGTGGCATACATAACACCTTGTCAACTTCCATCGTTCAACAAAAACAAGAAAGCATAACCAGAGATTATCACCTATATACAAGTTCCGAAGTGGTAACATAAAACATTAAATATTAATGCAGATGAGAAAAGAAGGATTGACAAGGACAAACAGATACCTAGCTGGATAGCCAAGAGGTGATTTTGGAGAAACAGATACCAATGCCGCAAAAACTGCAGCTTGCCCATTCAGGCAGTCTAGCTCAGCTTTTAGATTAGTACCCTATAATACCATGCAAGGTAGTGATGCTAAATTAAATAAATCACATAGAAGGTAAAGCAAGCATAAAAGGAAGATAGAACGATGGGTAATCTGTCTCTAGAGTCATGAATATAATAAGACTAATATGCAGTACACAAAAGCAAAGTGGGAGAAATTATATGAGAAGATATTAAATCATGAGGTAATCTGAAAGATAGGTAAGCACAGAATTCTTTAACCCCGGGAAATGCAGGTTTGCCATCTGTGTAGGTCCAGAAATAGGTAACAGAAGTGTGAAGAATTCTAGTTTAAATTAATATGCATAGACAATAAAAGTAAGGTTTAGCATCCTAGGAGGATACTCTGAGTGAAAAAACTATTTTCTGTGTACCTTCTCAAACGCAATGTTTTCTCTGAGCGCACTAAGCATTGTTACTGCATAAGAAACCAAACCACTTATACATGTAGGGTCAACCTCAGCGAGTGCACGCAATGTTAAAGCAGCCTCAACACGTACCTATGAAGTGATAGGAGCCAAAATGGTATTAAAAAAGAACTGTTACATAGTTTGAACTGCCAAGGAATCAACTGAAAGAAAGTTGGAAGGTTACTTGTGGTGACATATTAGAAACTTCTGCAACAACAGTGTTATCAAGAACTTCCTTGAATTCAGCAGGCACCTGAATGTTAAACACACTTAAACACCGCTTCTAAAAATTAATCTGCAAAGCAAATTCCCAGCAAAAAGAAAACAAAATTTTACTTGCCAAAAAAGCAGTGCTGCCTAAATATTTGCATGAATGAGGTCTTATACTCTTGTAATTAATGTTGACATACTTTAAATGGTTGTTACAACTGTCAGTATATGACCTTCATGTATGTTTAGCAAGCCAGTTGATTCAATCCTTGAATAGCATAAAAGCCCGTGATTGTATGTTTGGTACAGTGCAGTTTTGGAACAGTTTTTAAAAAGTTAGGAGCTTTTTTCCAAAAGCTACTCTGAGTACCATCTAGTAGAAAGTTTGTAGCATTTCTCATTTCTTTCCTCAAATCTCTATGTGGTACTAGTGCATAGTCGTTTTGTCTTTTTTTAGTGTCTTGTTTTCCAATTGTTTTTCATTCATATATTCCATATCTTAGTTTCTTATTTTCTAATTAACCAACGTAACTCCAAAAATAAATTATAATACATAAGTATTCAAATAGGCATTTAAATTAATTGCAACGGAATAACTACTAGTGTTTTTATGAGTATTTTTATTTTAATACATAAAAATATATTTAATCATAAGTATACATTTCTACCAAAGACCTTGTTGTCCAATGGCACCAAGGCGACACTTTCAAATGGGAAGTCACGGGTTCAATCCCCAGTGGAGACAATAACACTTGGTGCTTCAATCGGTTGAGAGAGTATGTATGAGCACATACTACAATTGTAATAGAGTTATTAGTGCTCAAACAAAATAAGTACACATTTCTCAAATAAAAACATAAATCACTTATTTTTAACCTTTCCCTTACATGACCTTTTACCATGTGAATTAGTTCATTTAGTTGTAACATTTAGATTTGTCAAATTCAACCATTTATCACAGATGACTTTTATCAAACAGAAACAATCTGTATTCATACAAACTTTCTTGTTAATAAATCAATAATTATGAGTGCTAACCATTCTGCAGCTCAAATTTTATGTCAGCACAAAAATCTTACTAGCACACTATTTGACTCAAAGTAAAAACGTTGTCATATTTTTCCTTCTGTGTATATGCTTGTTATAATCTACAAATGTTTTGGGGAAATAATTAGAGCTTCATTATCCAATTCCCTAAATCTCTCTCGTTTTTAACTGAGTAATTTTTATCTCTAACCATTAAGTATTGATGGATTTTTCATTCTGTGTTTCAGTTTGATTCACTAAAAAGAGCAGGAAATCTAATTGGGATACCCTACTGAACCCGTCTTTATATACATAATTACAAGAAATCAACGACAGCAGAAAAAACTGGATATCTGAAGAAGAGCATAACAAGTTTCAACAACGAAAAGATTCGGGCAAAAACATGTAGACCCCAAAAAATTCTTTCACCTCGCCCAGTGTTTTCAAAGCATAAGACAGGGTGCGTAAAGCAGCAACTCGCATTGAAGAAGTCGTGTCGGGAGATTGAAGCTGCACACTAAGTGCCATTAGAATCATCTACGATAAATGTTACAGATAAAAATAATAAATTGAATAAATGCAACTAAAAGAAGACCTGCTTGCTCAAAACAACCAAAAAGCCACTTTGAGTAGCTTCACTCATTTGATCCGTTAAACCAACTCGAAGAATGTAAAGGACGCATGCCTTCAAAAAACACAATGCAGATAAATAAAAACTAAACAAAATTACCAAGTATGCAACAAGCTGTGCAGTACTGGATGATTGTAGACGAATTAGCTAGTATATTCTTCTGCTCATCGAACTCAAATATTTAATAAACTAATAACGACCCCGAGACAACATTATCCATAATGCTCTTGTATTACCCAGGCAACTAAATGCTAAAAAAGGAAGACATCCCATCTACAAAATTACCCCAAAAAAATTAATTACCTTTGTGGATTGTTAACACCAGATGCAGCGCTGACTGCTGAGGCTAGGGAGCCTAGCAAATTTAATGGCTGGATAGATATATGGTTCTGGATATATGAAAAGCTCCACATAATACAACTATAAGAGTCTAAGCCAGCAAAAGTTTAACTTTTTAAGCCCAAGTGAGAGAGCACGGGAATGGAAATCTCATTAAACATGCCAACTGATGTGGTAATATGCACGGTACACAATGAAAGTGATAAAATGTGATCTTAAAACCATTCCTGCTAATATCCAAGCAAAGTTTCGTTGGGCATGCGCCACTTTCACTCCAATAAGAGAGGAGCAGAAGACAAAATAAAACTTCAACCACTCAGATGATTGTGTGCCACAATCAGACATATAACTTAAGTGTTGGATAAGAAAATAAACATACCAGTGCTTGAGTGTCCCAAGAATTGTCTACGCAAAGCATGCCCATAACTTGGATGGCAAACTTATCAAGCTCACTATCAGGAAGAGAGTACTTCAAACGAATGGCCTGTAAAAATAGCTTTGAAGTCTTATTTGAAGTGGTTTGTTTGCACGTCTTACAAAAGAGAGCACAAATACAACTGCTATTTAAGCATATGATAGTCATTACTGTTATTATTATTATTACTCTGTATTGTTGTTGTTCTTGAGTGCATTATTATTATTATTATTATTATTATTATTATTATTATTATTATTATTATTATTATTGTTATTATTATAAGTTTTCATTTAGTAGTCTTATTCTATTTTAGTTAATATTTCTAAATAAGGATTCATGTTTCCTAGTTTAATAATGGTAGGTCTCTTAGGTCGCTTGCCTAATCTCAGAATTAGTTGTAGAATCACAAATAAAATAACCAACAGTTAAAACTTAAAAGTCAAATTTTGTAATTCTGAGAAGCTAATCACAGACTGCTCCCTCTTCCTTCCAGCCACATGTACTCCGCTACATTCCCTAATGTATTTGTAACAGTTTGGTATAAGAGTCGTTCTCTTTCCTACCCTTTTCATTTGTTCTTGTTCTTTCTGTTTTGTTTATTTGTCTTTCTTTTTTTGTCTTTCTTCCAAAATAAAATATCACAAAAAAATCACCAAATCATGGAGTGTTAGGCTTTGTGTATCTCTCTCTAAATTATGTTAATCGGTTGATGAGTAAGAACTGTATTCTGTATTCGTCAAAAGATCTGTTCAACATATTTAAATTCTAAAAACTGAGGAGATCGAGTTTCAAGCATTGGCATTTTTTTTCTGTTTTAGACGCAAGAGATGCCAAAATCAAATTTAATAGGAAAACTATATATGAAGACGTTGCAACATGATAATCAATTACAATCTACCACAGTCGTAATTGCCATCTTTACCCTTCAATCACACATTTTCAAGGCTATTTGATCATTTGTTGAATATAGACCCAGCAACTTTATTGGATGCTGTGTCCATCCTCAAAAACTGTGTTGATTCACCAGTCTAATATTTGCCAACTCTTCTATTGTCGTTACCACAAGCACATTAGAAAGCTATTACTGGAGTTGCAGCTAAACCGCTAGAGACCATGATCTAACATAGTAACAATCCAATATTTATTTTCCAAGCCAAGAATTCATGGTTGATTCTACATATGCAAAGTCCTGGAGTTATGATGGAGTAACTGTGTGTATCACTACTAGTGAGCGACATTCAACTATGCAAAATTCATTTATTGGGCTAGCTACGAAGAGCTTGTACTCTTCAACATAACTTTATTACTTACGTTGTATTACTTATTCTTATTGGAATCAGATCAAATGAGAAACAGCTTTAAATAAAACTACGAATCAGATCAGACCCTAATAACAAGGAGAACAAGCTCTAAGGGCATGTCCTCTTCAACTTATTCTAATTGGAATCAAGTCGCAAAAATACAAATCAGATCAGATCAAGCCACTTCAGAAACACATTTAACTTAAACTAGAATCAGATCAAATCAGATCGATTCAGAACAGATCGGTAAGATTTAAATCAAATCAAACATTTATGAGAACTAATAAGTTCAAACAAAGTTCTTTGAAGTGATGTACTCCACTGATTTATAGAAAGATGTACGGAGTCTTACCCCAATGCATTGCTACATTTGCTATCCTTCATAGTTCATATAAAGTAAGAAGTAAAGGAAGTTTAATGTGCCATTTAAATTTACTCTAATATGTGCCCAGAGCTAAAAATTTTGTCATTGATGACTCTTTAAGCTCCATTATCACAAGGAAACTAACGTTTGATGAAAATGACAATTACTCCCTTTGTTCCAATGTATTCATCGAGTTTGACTTTTTTGCAAACGAACTTTAATTATCAATTATACTAGATTTGTATTGCATATTAATGCAATGAAATAAACTTTTGAATGTTTTCCACAAGATAAATATAATGAAATCATTGTTATACTAATATGCAAATATGCAATACAATTTTTACAAAGTTGAGCTTTGAAGTTCATCCAATTTGACTTGAAAAAGTCAAACTCTGAAGTACATTAGAACGAAGGTAGTAGATATTCTGGTGCCAAAGAGCTCACCACCCACTTGTACCTTTTATATGATGTTCAGAAAAACTATCACATTTGAAATATGAGGAATGCCACATTGTTGGCCATAGTGAAACAAAACACATCTAGCTAATGTAATGTATCACGAGCAACAGGCTACCTGTAAAAATGACACCCATGATAAGGTAAGGCCGACCCGCAAATACTTTGAACGAGGTCCACTTGCTGCAAAATGTCAATGTGTATAAGAATTTGATCATTACAATTAACCGTCTCTAAAACTAAAACATGACAACAACAACAAAAATAGCAATAAACAAGGTAAGGTCCTACAAGAGAGTTTATAGAGAGTGCATTTACGCGGGACCTTACATAAGAAGATAGAGTTTCTCAAATACGCGTGACAAAAGAAAATTTAAAAATAAATTAGAAAATCAAATTTAAAAAAAAAAAGAACAAGGATAGAGTAACTATGAAATAAAGGAATCGGCCAATAAACAAACCCCTACTAAGGCAACCACTCTACAATTTACTCCCTCCCATAACCCACGCCCTAAGTCAGATTACTGTACAACTTCGTTTTTCAACCTCCAAACTCTCATATCTAGGGTCAGGTCCTTGGTGAGCTGCAAAAACAGCATATCATGTCCAATCACCTCTTTCGGCATGTGGTATGTCTCTCAGAATACACTCCATATACTCATGTTTCGTCCTACTCAACTTGAAACCAAGCAGAACCCTAATTTTCAGAAAATCAAGCTTCAAAGCCTACAAAATCAACCTTGTGCACTGGAATCAAAACATAATCAACTCTAATTTTTAGATAATCGAGTTTTAAAGCCCAGAAAATCAACCTTGTGCACTGGACACAAAACTCAATCAACCTTGTGCCCAGGATTGTGCGTAAATCCCTCCTCAGCTACAAAACATAATTTTCCAAAGTGTGATAAAGGGATAGTGATGAGAGAGAGAGAGAGAAAGGAGAGTGACCGATATAGATAGAGTGGCTAGCAGAGACAAAGAGCTTTGCATAGAAATGTAGAACAGAGAGAGCGCTCGGGCATCCGGAAAATGTCTTCCGCTAATTATGTATTTGCTCCTTCATTTTCCAGTTGACTACATTTTATTTTCCTTTGACCCGCGTTTTCCTATTTGTCCAAACACTGGAAAATGGGGAAAATGACTCCTGGAAATCATTTTCCCCTTTTCCAAACGGACCCTTAGTATCCTCACAGCATCCTTGCTCTAGTCTTGGCTCCATCAGACATGTGTGAAATTGCTCGGATATATGCAACCAGCACATCTCCCAGGCACAGCATTGATATAAGACTTCATCAGGGCTGTGCATTACCCTATCCTTGGGTGAACAAACACCATAAGGAGATCTCTATTCCTATAATTCTGATGCTCTATCAAACCCCTCTTGGTCAATCAACTACGCATGAATCTGAATTGGTTTTCTAAACTAGTCACTCAGTTCTTAATCCTTCTTTCCCAAACCTTCATCGTGTGGAAGAGAAGTTTAATGCCTTTATATGTTTTAAAATGCTAGATACTATCCTTGTTCTTGTACAACAGAATCATTGTGCTTCACCTCCATTGTGCGGGCTTCTCCTTTTCATCATGTTAATACTTAATACCTCTTTTGCCTCCTTCGCTTCAATACACCTACAGATCTACAATAGTTGAAAATGGAAGGTACACTAACAACCTAAATTATCCAACAAAATACTCATGTTCTTCATGACACTCAGTGGAAGTAAGCCTGCCACCCACGAAAAAATAAAGATATGAACGTGCACCCACACATACTGACATACTTGTAAAGTTAGGTTCAAACGAGAATAACTTTTATGAAGAAAAAGAGAAGAAATGCGCATCTTAAATTCTAAAGATTGGGCAAATCATGTTAATGGTGCCATGTTTTAAACACTGGCACTCTAGTGCATAATGTATGTACTTTAAGTGCATTTTAACTGACCATTATGTAAGAGATTATTTTAGGCTTTGTTGAATTGTTATGTGATCATTTCATTGAGACGCAAAGGCAATGATTCCTAGTACACCCGCAAATCCACCTAAGTTTCCTCATTTCACCCACCATCATCTTCTGCATGTGGGTGTTCTTTGGGGGCCAACTCTTCCCCTCATACAACAAAGCAAGTCTAACTACTGCTCCATAAAACTTGCCTTCCAGTTTCAGTCACAAGTTAATACGCAGAACATAATCGTGAAACAATTAGTGAAACAATTATTTCCTGGGCGTAGAATGTTTCTGGGCAAAAGCCATTGCGTCTTGGGACAAAGGATCCTAGGAAGAGGAAGATCTACCTATGGCAGCTTGCTACCAGTGTGCACAAGATCTGTCCCGTGTGCAAAAATAATAATCATCAACAAAGAACAGATGAGAAGGCATACTAAGATATACCTTTTATAAAGGGTAAAACCAAATGCTTGTCTAGACCTCCTTGGATTTTTTTGGGTGTAACATGAACTTTTCCCCTTGGATTCACCTATTAAGAATAACATTTTACAAAATGATGAAAGAAACAAGTCCAGGACAGAAGCAAAATATGCTCACCTGTGCATCACGATTCATTCCAAGAGCAAGCAGTGCTCCTAAGGCTTCAGCAAAGGCATCTCTAACGGATGGTGCCGGGTCCTCAAGCACCTACAAGATTCAAAATGAAGCAGCAAATTTGAGCTCAAGTGAAGGAATCAATACAACAAAATCAATAAATAATAGGATAACAAACATGGAAGTGGAAAGAGAAAATAGAGACAATCATCCAACCTTAGCACAATAAGATGATGAGCTCTCAAGTTCTCCAGTCCCTAATCCAGGTCCACCAATGTTAGCAAATGCCTTCAGACATCTAGCCCCAGCAATTCTAACATTAACTGATTTGTCTACAACCCCTGTTCGCATTATGATTCGGAATGCCTCTATATATGCTGTCGATGCAGCACTGCCACCTGATCCTTCCAAAGCCTTTTGAAGCATGTTTAGACCTTCATATCTCACAAAATCCTGGAGTAACTCGTTATTAGATACTTTCTTTGTTCTTAAATAAATGTAACAGAGGAGGGTTTTACAGTATTCATGCACTCACACTTGATTGTTTTTCATGAATACTCACTCTGTCCCTTAAAAAATTTCCTTGTTTGACTTTGACGGGGTTTAGAAAAGTGTAGAAAATTGAAAAAATGATCAGTTGGAATTTGTTGAGAGAGAAGTTTTGTGCGCCACGAGTACAATTCTTTAAAACGAAATAAAGTAGGAAGTTTTTTGGGGACATCCTAACATCTAAAAAGGGAAAATAGAAACTCTTTTTGTGGAACAAAGGGAGTATATAAAGAAAAATAGGCACGTGGGCCTTGTAGGGTTTTGTTAGGTGTGTCTCAATATAAACTTTCGCAATATCAACTTTTTATAATCTCTACCAAAACATAGTTTACTTTAGTGTAAATTCAAAAAATAGTCCTTTGTAGTTGGTGTTTTTAAATGTTTAGTCCACCTTACAAACTAATGCTCTTTGTGGTCTTACGTATTTGATAACACATCCAACACAGTTTCTCCATTTAATATTACGAATATGTTAATTTATCATTAAATTAGATAGTAAATTTTGATGGACGTCATTTGTAAATGGAGTTTATTCCACGTTTAGTACTCGTTAAAAATAATATTATAAATAAAAATAATTATTTTATTTTATACAATTTATTAAGCACATGCCATAGTTATTATTCTCTTATATAAAATTTCATAGTTTTCTTTTCAAAAAAAATAATTTTTATCAAATAATACTCCAGTTTATTCGACTAAATATATTTTGAATTGAACTAAAAGGTAGTACTAATTACCTTTTTACATAATTTTATTTTAAAAAATACTTTTATAGAATAGAATGGTTAGAGAGTTTTACGAGGGAATAATGACGGAATAATCTTAACATTAAAAGTATTGGTATAAAATAAGAGGTGGTAGTTTGTATTCTCTTTGTTGTGTGCTTTATAGGCTTGAAGTCTTTCTTTTTACATCTATTTATGTGCTTTTAATTTTAGCACGCTTTTCTTCCCTTTTTGTTTGCTCCTTGGGCTTTTGTAGTATTGTGCTTTTGTTGTGCTAGTTGTCCTCTGTGTTGCTTGAGATGGGGGTCTCTTGGAAACAGCCTCTCTACTTTTAGTAGAGGTAAGGTCTGTGACTGTGTACCCTCCCTAGACCATGTTGTAGCGGGATTCTACTAGGTTGTTGTTGTTGGTATAAAATAAAATATACATAAAGGACAACCTTTGGTGGAAGTTTTCTCAAATACATACGACCAAAAGCAGTATTAATTTGTGGGGTGGACTAAACAAGGAAAAACCTAAACTAGAAAGGATATTTCTTGGAATTTAGTCTTTACTTTATGAGATGGCAAACGTGAAAATTTTAAGGTTGCATTTATTTAAGAACAGAGTGCTCTATGAACCTTTATAAAAATATTTTAAGGAAAAAAGATGTAATTTGACCTTTTGAATATTGTTTATGAACCCTAATATGGAATAGAAGTAAATATCAATGATCTTATGAAATTAGATTCAAGATAATGCATTTGGTTCACAAATTTTAAATGCCCATATGATTTGAAAAATGAAATAACAATTGAGTTCATCAAAGATCAAGATAGCATAACTAAAAATTAAGATATTGTAGTAAAAGTTTTAATATACTAGCCTACTTTATGAAGTATGTGATAGAAATAAATTCATAGCATTTCGATGTGTAGTTTGTACACTCTTATCCTACATGAATTCATAAAAATTACCCTGGACCATACCAAAAGTATAGCCATAGAAATGTCCTCAGCTTTGTAGTTATCATCACCACAACCCCACTCGTTTCAAAATTCAATTCTACAATTACAAATGTAGTAAATTCTATGACCACTAGAAATGTGGTACACATTTAGCTCAGCTCATTCAACAATAGGATTAAGAATGAACAGATACTATATCGTAATAGTCAAAACCACTAAAAAACAATAGAACTAACAGAGCATGTAATGCACAAATGCTTGATTTTTTTATAGAATCAGATGACAATCAACATCGATATTCTCATATCCATATGTGAAACACAGAAATTGAGGATTTAGGGATCACTACCTGATTATCACACATGATCAAATGTTGGAGGATCCATATACTAACTCACAATATTAACTCGATGAGCAATGGCTTGATGGGTCACAATGAGATAATTCAACTTTCTAATTAGTCGCATATACTAGTTTATAAAATGAGACTCCCTCTTAAATCAAATGTACATTGGGAATTATGGAAGTCTTGCACAGTCATGCTCCTGAATTTCTCGTGTATGTCAACAAATTAAGTAAATACTTGTGATACGATCCCTTCATGATTCTTTAATACCCAAATATTATTTCAATAAGCCAATATCCCTCATCTGAAAGTGGTTGTAAGAGAATGTCTAGAGAACTAAATTCCTACTGTATCACTATTTGCCAAAATGTCAACGTTGTCCCCAAATCCCCAATGTTCAAGAGGCTGGCTGGAACGTAGTGGATTTGGAAATCCTTAAGGAGAAGCGTTAAGAAACTAGAGTAGGGATTTCCCAAACCAGTGTGTTCTTACTTTAGACTTTTAATTCTTGCATTATTTCCATAGCTCCTGCGTTTTCCAATCGCCAATTTTACAAAACCCCGAAAAGTTTTAACGCGCCTTATCCCAAAGTTTGTGAAGAGCTCACAAATTTTCTACAAAATATTCTAAGGATGAAAGTTAGAATATGTTAATATGTTATCAATAACTTTGGAACCATGTTCGAAGGAAAGCAATGGAGAGAGAAAGAGAGAGTTCAAATATTACTCAATGTCTCCATCTATCACTTTAAGCTTATTTCTTTTTTTGGCGAATATGGATGAAATAACTAAGACTATAAGATAATTTACCTTGGTGTATGTTGTTTGCCAATGATAATATCTTGATAGATGACAACAAAATAATTCCAACTCCGTTGGGGGGTCAGAATATACCGAATGTAACCTCTATATTTGTTTCCATGGCAATGTTCATAGTTCTTGTTGTCCACTACACAATCCACTTGGGGGTACATCTTAAAGAAAAATTTGGCCTTAGACCTTAAGAATATGTAGTATATTGTAGTTCCTTGTTGGGAACTTATGTTTACCTCTTTAAAAAATCATTGAGTAGATACCTAGTCCCCACCTAGGATGTGCATTGTTCCGATTCATTCTCATAGAAAAGTTTCTCTTACTCTTATATTTTTCCATATATCTCTTTATTGATAATCATATGATGTTCTTATGACATTTAGAGTAGGATTTTGATAAATATAGCCTATAAATAGTGCATAAATTCCATATCAATTATCATTGTAAGGAGGATTATGTTTTTTTCTAAAAAGTCTTATCGATCAAGATTCAAGATAATACAAATGTAAGATTTTTCTCAGTTCTAACTTCAATGCAACAATAACTAAACATTTTTATGTAACGTTGACAAGAAATGCTCATTTACACACCTCATAAAAGAAACAGATGTTATAATAATCATGTTAAAGCATAAATACCTCATTAAACTTCAACATCTTTGTGACAATTCTTGTTGTTTCCAGTAATCCAGAAGTAATTCTTCTCCCAAAGTAGTAATACAATTCACCCAAGCACTCAGCAGCACCTACAGAGTACACGGACCATTTTCAACAAAAAGAGTGTCATACTTTGTGCACAGCACCATAAAAATGTCATATGAAGGAAGGGAATGAATATAAAATGGTAACAAGTTGAAACGCTGGGGAATACTAAAGTCAGTGTAGGAGCATGAGTGGCTCAAACGGGTAGTCTTTAGGTCCTTTCACTAAAATACAGGAGCAGTTTGTAGTCTATGATGGGAAAAGATGGCATCACCATAGTACATTCAAATTTCCCACCCGGAAAGAAATGGATTAAATACCTAATTAAATAACTTTCAATCATACTGGACTTTGATGAATGTGAGAATTCAAGAATGACGAACCAGCAACTGGGTGAGGCTCGCTCTTCTTTCCATCTGAGAGAAATCCCTGCAAGCTGCTAGCTCTGGAATATATCGAAATGGCATCACCCTTTTGTATGACCCTCGCCATAGCCACAGATGCCAAGTGTCGTACAGGCTTTTTTGCACCAAGCACAAGTAGAGAATAAATAGCATCCTCGCATTTCCTCTGGCACAGCAGTATGGATTCCTGAACTACGAATATCAATCACCAAGCTTGAGCTCATGCGCTAACGATGCACGAAATCAACATTCAACTTAAGACCGAGCCATTTAATTTAACAATAAAGTGATATCAAAACCCTACTAGTTGCGGCGCCACATAAGTAGTGTTCTCATAAACATGACGGAAGTAGGGAACTAAAAGCATTCTCATTATTGAAAAAAAATTGAAATGTTTGTTAAGAGTGTATATTAGTTAGTGAAATGACAGAACACAATTCCCCAACAAAATATGATGCCTGAAAGATAACCTTTCCAAATCAAAAACAAATGTTTATGTCGGGTTTGTCTAGCTTATGGCAATCATCTGTCGAATGATATCAGGGAACAGAATGGAGAAGGCATATGACAGGATCAATTATGCACGGTAACTACGGAAGGGCTAGTAGGATGAACGAAGAGGGTTTGATTTATTAGATAGAGATCCGAAGAGAAACATGAGAGAAAAGGCTGACCTTAGGCTCTTCATTAATGGCGGAGATGAGATCAGAGAGGAGATCAAAGCAGAGGAGAGGGTCAGGAGGCTTGTGAACTGCAGAGGCGACTATGGATTCCAACTGGGCCACCAATACTCCGAATCTTGACAACGGCGCATTCACTCTTGCATAGCTATTCGCCATTTTTAGAATTCACAGAGCTTTTCTTCTTCCTAAACATGCAAGTTCAGATAACTCTCAGTATATTGAGTCTCAAATGAATGCAATGGTGATTAGATGAAGAACTTCCGCAGCGAGCTTTGATCTAATTCTGAAACGAGCAGGTTGAAGGATTCGTAAAGTACCCGTAAGATTGGAGCAAAGATAGGGGTTATAGTGAGGGTCTATACTCTATACAGGTTCATTTGAAAAAATAGGTTATTCATTTTAAAATAATGTACGGAATAATATTTATTTTCAAAGAGTGGAATACTATCCTAAAATGATGTTGTACTCTTTTTTATACATTTGTTTAATATTTATTTACGAATAATGTAATATTCATTCTAAAACTCAATAGTACTTATTCTCATATACTCTTGTACTCATTCTTAAACATTTTTCCATAATCTACTTATTTCTTCTTCTGATGTAGGAGTCTCAAGATTGAAGAGAGTTAGAACTGAATTCTTGTTCCACGGCTAAAACTGAATGTTGCCGCTAGAACTGAATTCCTGTTCCACGGCTACGGTTGATACTATGACGGATAAAACTGTCTGGCTAGCATTCCGAGACATGAGAACATGTGTTCATTTCGCTTCTACCATGAGAGGACGTCAAAGTCCACGTCGGCCTCGTCATAATCGCGTGGCACTCCTTGGTACATAGCAAGTTCGTGGTGCGGCCTTACAGTTGTACCACATGAACTTGTCGAAGCGTGACCACGCTTACCTTTTTTTTGCCAAATAAGCTCACCGACTATCCCTTTAAAACCTTTTTTTGCTTTTGGGAGGCAGAGGAGGTGTTGTTTCGCTTCCGGTACATTACGTATATTCCTTGAAATTCTTTAAATAAAGCCTCAAAAAGATTAATAGCATTATCTCTTTCTTGTGTCCATTGTATTAAATGGTTGTAATAATAATTATTTTCATCTAAAAAACAAGTGTAATAATACTCAATCAGAATTTGAAAATTTTCAATTTTAAGCCAAGATCACAAATAATACCAATTTTATGAATATGAGTAATTACAAATGATAAGCACACCATTTATTCATCATAGGAGCGATATAGGGGTACAACTCTAGATCAGATAAACTTTCACGAAAACATGTTGCAATTGTAACACAATCTTTAAAAATCTATTTGTAGCGAGTTGGTGAACATGCAAGAAAGTAATAGTTGCGCTATTAAAAACTTCTAATACGACATTCAATTTTTTCAAAAATAATAAATTCATTCAATGAAATCATGAAACGAAGTCCATTCCTAAGAAATGAAGCAAGTTCATCTTTGTAGCTTAGAATCTATGCTATCAACTTGTATGTATTATTTCATCTAATAGTGATTTATAGTATAACTTCCACGCTTCCGTATTAGCACCCCAAATCTTTTTTAATCCATTTCTAATGTTTGTCAACCCCCTAATAGTTTTAATCCCTGTTGAACACATAAATTTAAAACATAAAACATGATAGACACACTTTTGATGTAGAAATCTACCCATACTCTTAGTACATGCAAATTTCTTGAAGTCTAGGAATAATAGCAGTATTATTATAAGTATTATCAAAAGAAAATGCAAACACTTTATTACCTAAATTGTATTCTTGCAAGATATGCTCAAGCAATACAAAAATGTTTTGAGCCGTATGAGATTCATTGAAATTACGAAATGTAAAAACATATTTATGCATAATCCAATCACTATCTATCCAATGATAAAAATACCCATATAAGACAAATTTTCCAAATTCATTTTTTCAACTTTATATTGTCTAATAATTTCTCTCTTATTTTTTTTCTTGAAAAACCTCTTGCTTAAGGGTTTAGTGCATTTTGACAATAATCATTAAAAACAAGTTTTTCATAAAACATGTATGGCAAATTTTCTTCAAAAATCATGTCGGCCATTTTTTGTTTATTTTACTCGTCGGCTTCGTCGCTATAAACAAAAAAGGTCGCCTTTACCCCTATTTGCAAATCGAGAAATTTAGGTTTGCACTTCTTGTCGTCCCTTCTTTTTCGGCGCGCATTTGGTATACTCCACGGGGTACCTCGCCTTACGTGTTTTCCAAAACACCATAACCGCCGGGAATTTTCATTTTTATGACGCTGCCATAGTATTTACAATTTCCAAAAACTTCATCATTTTTTTATTCTTTTGAAAAATGATAAACGAATAAATCAGATTTTATATCTTCGAATGGCGTTTGTCGATTCAACGATATCTTCAAGAGTTTGAAGATTGGCGTCTGTCCTATCTCTCAAATATTGTTCAAATTCTTGATCCGTCATAGCATCGACCATGAATTGATTAGAGATAGTAGGGAAGGAAGAGACAGCGTGTCTTCGTTGAGAACCATGTAAGCTCAAACCGTTGAAGGTGGCTTTAGCTTTGCCTTTCCTCAAAATTTGGTCCACAACGCCCAAATCCACGGACCTTCTACCAGACTCTTTCAACATTTTAATATATTTTTATTTTGATAAAAAGGACTATATTAATATTTAAAATGTTATATATATATATATATATATAATTTCAAAATTATAATATTAATTTATAACAATTTACAATATAAATATATAATATATTAGTGAATAATAATTGATGGTGTAAATTATCGACCGGTATATCGTTTTTAGCCAGGTAAAAACGATACACTAGTCTAAAAACTACACCAAAATATAAACACAAGAATTTTGACATGGAAACCCAAATCAGGAGAAACCCGCGAGCCTTTTTTTGCGTTAGCTTGCCAACATGGGATTTTTATTGATATCGGAGGTTGTACACGGTACATAGTTTAGGCGTAGAAGTCATTAATGGGGGAGCTATAAGCTCAATGAAGAAGAAGAAAATATACAATCTAGAGAGAGATAAATATAAAGGGGAGAGTGATGAGAGGAGCCCCTCAATTTTGAGGTCAAACCCACTCTTTTATAGGCGGGAGGGGGAGCATCTTTAGAGAAATATTCTCTTATCCTTTCATTTTATTAAACAAGCCCGTTTTGAGTGTCTTTTGTAAATAATTAGAAAATGTGAACCGCGCCACGTATTATTTCCGATCAAGATGTCCTCCACTTTTTTAAGTTGTGAATATCATCAACTTAAGAAACTAAAGCGCAGCAGTCCTCCGAGTGTTATCTTCAGTTGTCATATTTTGCATTCTTGACCAGTTGATATTGCTAGTCCTCCGAGTTTTCGTTAACTCTCTAATTTCCTGAATGAAATATTTTCCTGCAAAAAATAATACGTACAACTTTTTTTTGATCGCCCTATGCTGTGCTCAAATAATTATTATCTTTATCGAGGAGCTCGGTGTTAAGTGATTAAAATACGCGTGGATAACTATCGTAAGGAGAGCCATTTTAATTAGTTCAATGAAACAACGATGCTTCAAAAAGTTATTTCGTCGAGGCCAATGTTAATACAAGTCAAGCAAATGATGCGTGACGAAATTAGTATACTGATGACAACGACGTTAGTTAATAAGAATTGAATATGATGCGGTAGCTTTATTGAAGATCAGTGTTAGCCCGACCGATTGATGTAAATATCTTCATGTGATCAGCTCCTCAGATAGATGGCTTAAAATGAATCGAGCATCCTCGATATGATCTCAGCTCCCTCTTTTGCTGAAACTGATGTGCGACTGGCGTCCAATTCGATTGGGCTCAAGCTCGTTGAAAAACATGTGCAAGAATGGTGTGAGACCAGTGTAGCAGTTTGACTGGGTCACATATTTTCTTAATTATACTGAGCAAGACCGGTGCAGTAACCAGCGTGCCAGGCCGAGCCTATGTCTCAGTCTTCCTCAAAGATAATGTTGCTGGCTCAGCTAGATCAACATTGGAGAATTAACCATGTTGGATGGTTTCGAGCCCTCTACATTGCAATCTTTCGACAGTGAGAGTGAGCATAGAGAAAATGAGGTGGATGACCGAGAAGAGGAGGACGATGAGGTGGATGAGCAATTGGACCCACTCATGAGGGATCAACATGTATACGTTGATCCTGATGGCACGTAAATTATGATGAAAATTAAAATATAGTTGTATATATCATTATCACATATATTGATTTTTTTTCTATTTTTTTATAGAATAATATAAGGGTTAAGATCACTACTGTCGTGTGTCACCTAATCACACCCTCATTTTATCTGAGGGGGATCCTGAAGAGACAAAGTGTACAAATATTGGGCCAAAGACGCAAGATTTTTACTGGCGAGAGTTCCAAGACTTGTTTTCATACGTACTAGAAGACTTATAAATTTTAATATTCTATTTTAAAAATAAGTATAAGTACATAATATTTTGTTTCTTTGAATATATAAACACTACGGCTAAGATCGTCACATTCCTTATGATATGGTCAGGGATGCTTTTATGTGTCGGGCAGAAGACTGTATAGTCGCTTTACCTACAATCAACATAATGCGAGAGTGGTTCACAATAAGCCCCCTACTGAGCTTATTGGTCGTTGGGACAAGGTGATTTAGTTTTGAATGTATTACAGTTTTTCTATATGTATAAGTCATCTTCTTAATATTCATATTATTATAGCATTGAGTATCTAAAACATACTGGATATATGTATCTATATATATAACTTCTTCTAATAATCCTGATCTTATACATATGTATAGTTTTGGAATTCCAAAGAATTTAAGCAGGAATCTGAAGTGAAGAAAAAGAATAGAAAAAAGGGGAGGAATGAAGGTGTAGCCATAGGGACCTATATTGGAGGGTCGATTCATTTTTCTGAACACCTTGCCAGATTGGTAAGTAATTAATGAATGAATACATATTAATACTTTTTAACTTTTAAATTTATATGTTAATTATAAATATGTACATATTTTATTTGATAAACTTGCAATGTTTTTTATATTGTAGACTGAAAAGTTTGAAGCTCTCTAATGACAGTGGTGGATGCTTTCAAGCACACAAACATGATGAAAAAACATGGATAGATCTAGAAAATGCACAACTTGAGGTAAATATGAATTATGCACATGCACTTCTTATTAATAAAATTTCAATACATTGCGACAATGTGATGATTACATATACTCTATATGTTTATTATATATTCATTATGTATTTCATTAATTGATTCCTTATAATTGAAATAAATGGCCGAGGAATCGGGCTTAAAGTCACGGACCAAGAGATTTTTGAACTAGTTGGTGGCCGAACAAATGAAACTCTTTAAACCTAGATATTAAAGCAGAAGAAAGACTAGTGATATTTCAAAGATTGAGCGGCTAAGAGCAGAAAATGAAGTCATGAAGGCGAGGTTGGATAAAATTGAGTTCACAGTTGCTCAACAAATTCGAAGAATGTGTGGTGGAAAATCTTCCGACACCTCAAGACCCTGACGATGGGATGGGAGGCTCAGGAACCGGTTGTGTGGCATAAATTAGCTATTATAGTTTTGTGTTATAATGAATTTTTTATTGTGATTGATAAAGAATTGGATAAAATTGTGTTTTAATGAATTTTGTGTTATGATTAATTGACAATGAATTGAACAAAGAATTATGTTTTAATGAATTCGAAGAATCGTGTGTTGTTTCACTGTTGTTATTTCTATGTTGTGTATTGGTGGTAAAAAAATGAATTGCAGGGGACCTGGGTTATGAATTCTGGTTCATTTGCGACGAAAATTATCCATCGTAGGCTACAAATAAAAAAGTCTATAGTTCTGTCGTAGAAATCGTCGCAGTCTGCAACAGATTGCAAATTTTGTTGCAAAGTAGGCAGATCCCCTTCCCGTTGCAGATTTGTTGCATGTTTGCGACAAATGTTCTTTTCTGTTGCAAATGTTGGAAATGCAACAATATTTTTGCGACAGATTTATTCCGTCACAATCTTGTTGCAATTTTTAATTCTGCGACCAAAATAGAGGTTTTGTGACATAATCCATCGCAGATTTGGCAAAATTTTGTAGTGGAGATTGGTGATCAATGTCGTACAAAGAGCATGCTATTTGGAAGAAATCAAGAAGAATGCCACGATTATATATGAAGACAACGCAACATGTATAACTCGGATGAATGAAGGCTACATCAAGGGAGATAGAACGAAGCACATCTCACCAAAGCTTTTGGACTTTGCATGCTAAAAGAAATAAATTAATTTGAGGGGGGTATAATTTTATTTTGAGAGAACATTATACATGTTGTACTCTTTTTCCCTTAACTAATTAAGTTTTGTCTCACTCGGTTTTCTTAGTAAGTTTTTTTGATGAGGTAGCATAACTGATCTTGCAGTATCAGTTAATGCAGGCCTTGAAGAACCTACCCAACATTATCAAGTAGCATAATGTTGTTAGTGTATAATGAACGATAATATATCTAAGAGAGAATGTTAAATATGGTAGATATATTACTCATATTATTCAAAATATTTGTTTCTTTGTCTACCTAGATTTTACCTCCTCCCGTGTATGTATAAATACCCCGACCTATAATGAATAAAGTACTTAGTTTAAAACATGTTCATGATTTTATTCCAAAATAATATTATTTAATTTGCTCGATCATGTTTTGAATGATTTTTTATAGAAAATTTAGTTTTTACACTTATATTCCAAAAAGCTTACATGTATTTTCAGAACTAAAATATTGAGAAAAACAAACTAAACTAGTGGTAAAACACTAAAACATGGGAAAAATACCAAATTAAGAACTTCATGTCTTTTCTCTCTTAAACACGGATATCGTGGTGCTTAAAATAAGTATACAATACCAATGACGATACCAATGTATAGTACCAAAAAATACACCGAGATGTTACTATATAGTGTCATAATGTTACAGTATAAACTCCTCTTTTTTGTGATAAAAATATGAAGATTCTATTTTGAAGATAAATGTTATATTTTACTTATACTTGAGGTATCAAATTTTCACAATAATAGTTATCTATGTTTTTTATTCAACTATGCTAGGGGTACACCAAAAGTATACTCTAAAAAATGCACCGCATTTTAGCAGTTTATACTGACACAAAATGTTAGTTCATCTAAAAAAGTTTGCACTAAAATTTTTTGTCAATGTAAACCATCACACTAGTATCGCACTAGCACAAAATGGCGGTGCATGCCTTTGAGGTACAAAATGAGATACAAGTTTTAATGTACACATAGTTTAATTTTTTTTATTCGATGACGGTGAGTTGCAAATTTATGACTGAAATTTTGATATCTGGTGATGATAACAAGTCAACCAAAGTTTAAACTTGTGATTGTCACCACCCACATTTTATAATTTGAAATATTCCTATAGCTAGCCTTATCCTTTTGTTGAGGTAGGTAACATTTGAATTTATAGGAAGCATTAAAATAATGATTTTTTGGTATATAAATAAAAAAATAAAATTTACATATTGAAAAACTACGTCAATAACTAATAAAAAAATATTTTATATTATCAAATAACAAATAAAAAATACTCCCTCCGTCCCGGAGTATTCGTCCAGTTTTGACTTTTGGAACTGTTCATCTAAGCACTTTGACTCATCAAATTCTCTCAATGTGTAAGCTTAAATATAATCATGTGTGATTTTGTTTGATTTGTCTTAACATATATATTAATATATAATTTCTATAATTTTTTAATATACAAATTACAAGATAAAATGGATTAAAAAAATGTATTGAATGATGTATAAAAATGAAAGTGGATAAATACTTTAGGACGGAGGTAGTATAAATAAATGAAAATTTTCATGATTTTTAAATAATAAAATGTGACACTTTTTTAGACGGACTAGTAATAATTGTTGACGCATGCTAGGCCGGGTCCCAGCCCATGTGGACAACTAGGTCCACTACTGAAAATTAACAAATTCAAGCAAATAAGTTTACTCTACATGCATGTGTATATATAGTAGACCCAATTCTGCTCATAACTTACCTGCTACTTGCCAAATAAACCTCATCAATTTTGAACCAGCCAAGACATTTCAAGCCCACACAATATATACTTCTAATATATCATCCAACCAAAATGGCTCACAATAATAATAACCCCTCCCCCCTCATCTCTCTGCTAATCCTCTCCCTTTCCCTCTGCGCAACCGCGCAGCAGCTCCGCCCGAACTACTACTCCGCCGTGTGCCCCAGCCTGGAGGCCACCGTGAGGGGGGTGGTGGCCCAGAAGTTCCGGCAGACGTTCGTCACCGTCCCGGCCACGCTCCGCCTCTTCTTCCACGACTGCTTCGTCGAGGGGTGCGACGCGTCGGTGGTGGTGGCGTCCACGCCGGGGAACACCGCCGAGAAGGACCACCCCGACAACCTCTCGCTGGCGGGGGACGGGTTCGACACCGTGATCAAGGCCAAGCAGGCCGTGGACAACATCCCGGGGTGCAGGAACAAGGTGTCATGTGCTGACATTCTTGCAATTGCAGCCCGGGATGTCATTTCTCTGGTTAGTATAGTCCTCTCCGCATATACAAAATTTAATTTTTAGTTGAGTTAGACAATTGCTAGGATTCATTCCACTAAAGCCTCTTTTTTTCCCTCACTAAGGTTAATTAAACAAGCAATTTGATCATAATAAAATTTGATCATATTAATTTGATCATACTACGGTAATATATAAAAAAATGTGAAATGTGTACTAAATAGGACTAAAACATAATGATTTTCTTATTGTAGGACTTAAACTTTTTTATTCCATAAATAGGACTTAATAATTAATAAGATCTCGGAGTAGAAGTAAAAGGTGTCTTGCGGGGACATTCTTGTAATTGCACCCAGGATGTTATTTCTCTAGTTAGTCCTATCCCCATATATACCTCTTCTTTTTTCTTCTACAAAATTACTCCGTAATTTTTAGTTGAGTTGACACTTGCCTTCATTTCACTAAAGCCTAATTTTTTTGTAGTTCAGTACTTTACTTTTGACTTCAAATTAAATACGGAGTATAAAATATATGGTATATTGATTGAATAAAATAATGATTGGAAAATATTGTTTATAATAAATGTAATAAGTTTATTTTTGTATCAATATTTATATGGGTGCTTGTGACTAATTATTTTAAAAATAAATCTCATCAGTTTTTTACTCTAAATAGAAGCGTTTGGGAGTATATGGTTCTCAAATCGTAGTTTAGCGTGTTTGACAACTTGTATTTTGCTTACAAATCATGATTTCAGAAGTTTAAAATGAGCTCGAAAAATACTTCTTTCAAGGAGAGTGTGTTTGAGAGTGTTTTGAAAATAACTTTTGAGCTTTGACTTCATTAAAAGAGAACTTTAAGTGTTTTTTAATCAATTTTAGATTATGAATTGTAATTTTAAAAATGAAAATTGTGCTTTAGAAATGATTTTCTCCAAAGTTTGAAATAATTACTTTCTACTCTTGATTTAACACATTTGTTTTTATCACTCACAACACTCTCTACAGGGGTTTATTTTTTGCTTCTGATTATAATTTTTGATTTGCACGAAATCTACCACAACCCCCAATATGCTGTATGCACCTTCAAGCCTAAAACCGTTTATTTTTCGGTGGCCAACGCCGCCGCCGACCACCGTGGGCGGGGATCAGCCCCGGCCGTAGGCGTGATTTGCAGCGAAATTGGTCTACTCCGGCCGCCGGACACGTGTAAATATGTGCCATATTATTTGTTGATGCCAGCCAGCCAGCGTTGGTAGCGTCGTCGTTGTCGCCCACCACCACCAACCACTTTATTTTTTTCCCCTCTCATTTTTCGTGGTCTACAGTACTTTTTGTTTTCTAAGGTAATCTTGGCCCACCTACCACGTACATCTGGATAAAGTATGGACACTTGGTCAGATCATGGCAAGATATATTCCTGCACTACCTTTTCTTTATTAAGTTTTTAGTATTTATAAGACATCCAATTTTGATCATCAATTAAATAAAAAATCATTCTTAAATAACTTAACTTTTACCTTTTTCTAAAATATACAGAATTCTTCTCAATTACTTTTTGCATTTTTCTCTACATTTTCAATTATCCCGCAATACTAAGATTTTACTTAATCTTCACAAATAACATCATGTGTTTTTTGGCACGGGAAGGGGGGAGTATGTATTTAATTGACATTTAAAATTTGTTAATTTGATTGCAAAAAGTCAAAGATGAAATATATAGTTGGATGGAAGGAATATATATTTTTGTTGGGTTTTATATGAGAATTATTGTTAAATTGAAAAATAAAATTGATATAAACTGCAAATTAAAAATTTATCTACTTAAAAACTACATGAAAAATTATACTTTCTCTGTCCCAAAAAACAGTCATTATTTTCTCTTAGAAATGTCTCTAATAAAGTCTCCTCTTATTAATTTGATCATCATATACGGAGTATATAAAAGGAAAAAAACAAAGGTGTATATTTCAAATTCTAGGAAAATGTAATTTGAGTTGGGGATGATGATATACACTAGTAGAAGTAGACTAGTAGTAGTAGTAATTGGAGGGATTATATATATAGGCCCAGTTTCTTTGACATTGCTAAGCAATGGCAAGAGGCCATACGATACTCCGTTCGTAAAATTGATGATTCTTAACCCTCATAACTCTCGGTAAACTCCTGACCCCAAACCCACCGTCCCACCCCTTCAATTGCGTCTACCAAGTTTAATTGACTTTGGAGTCAAAATCAAAATGACAAAATATTGACTCTAAAATCAATTAAACTTTGGGGATGCAATTGAAGGTGGTAGGCCAGTGGGTTCGGGTGGGCCAGGTGAAATGGTTTACTGAGGGGTGAAAACCGTAAATTTTACAAACGGAGTATCGGACGGCCTCAGGCTCTTAGGGAACCGCCCCTATATATATACACAATGGATGGTGCAGGCAGGTGGGCCATGGTACCGAGTAGAGTTGGGGAGACGGGACGGGTTAACGTCAAAGGCGACAAACGTGGAAGGGAGACTCCCACAGCCAACTTTCAACTTGAAACAGCTCAACTCTTTGTTTGCTTCTCATGGTCTTACCCAAACCGACATGATTGCCCTCTCTGGTATTTACTCCGTATAATATATATGCCTCTCCTTTGAATTCCCCTTTTCTCTCCTTAATTGCATGCTTAATTTACCATTCACACTCCTATATATATTGTCATGACATGCTCATGATTTACATTGTCAAACACTTAGTTTGGGATTTAAAAAAAAACTACCTCTATTTTGATATTTTGGTGATATTTATTTCTATCTAGAAACATTTCTATAGTTTTTAATTCGGTTGAATTCATTTTTTGACCTTCACATTGAGAGTTTAAATAGAAACTAGTCGTCTACTTTTTCAAGAAAAATCAATCTGCGGTGACAATTGTGTCTGACTAGGTCCATGAACTCCCGACTCTTTGCTTCTAATGTTTTGTCATTCCTATATCTCACTATCACCTAAATGTCAACATAGGATGTTACTATGGTATATCTCACAAACTCAATTCCTTTTTCATCAATTGCAATAAGAAAAATGTCATCTTGTATGTAAGCATCTAAGTTTCAAGTTTGGCCACATATTTTGCACACAAATGATAGACAAGATTTCACCAAAATGATGTTGTCTTTGAATTCTTGTTATTCACCAATGGTGTGAAAGAAGGGCAACATTAGTTCATTTTAGTTTAAGAAAATTTACTCCTTGATATCCTAAGATTCTACACGGATAATACAAAGATTATATATAATTATTATCACGCTCTTAAAATTTCAAAATTTTTACAAAAGTACTCTAAATTTGAAAAAAAAATCTCACGGAATATTGTTGTAAAAATAATAGTTTTTTGAAGCGCAAATGATAGTCTTTTCGTATTAGTTTGAGTTTCTAAATTTTATATATATATATATATATATATATATATATATATATATATATATATATATATATATATATATATATATATATATATAATTGTTTGAAACAAAACAATAATTTTATGATTAAGACAATAATAGAATTATTAATGTTCAAAAAATAGACCGGGGCCAACTACAAATGTTGATTTTAATTTGAGTAAATTCCCAGAATGGTACCCAATAACTATGTGTTTTCTCAAATTATTCCTCAAAACTAATTAATTACCAAAATGGTACTCGGTTATTGTAAATAATGCCCAGTTCAGTCTCCCGGCAAACGACCGTTAAAACGGCGTTAAATAGACGTTACGCCTTATACTACTTTCCTAAAATGATACTTTCTAACTGAGTATTTTATCAAATTGGTCCATTTTCGAAATAAAAAAACTTTTATTATGAAGAAATATTTTAAATTTTATAAGATGATAATATAATACTAAAAACTATAAATATAATTTTATAAATTCAAAAGTAACATTTTAGATTCTTTACTATTATTTATATGAATATCATGTAAACAAAATATTTACTACCTCCTTCCCAGAGTATTTGTCCACTTTCATTTTTACACACCATCCAATAATGCACTTCTTTAGTCCATTTTATCTTGTAATTTGTATATAAAAAAATTATAGAAATTATATATTAATAATCTATATGTTAAGACAAATCAAACAAGATCACACATGACTATATTTAGGCTTACACATTGAGAGAATTTGATGAGTCAAAGTGTTTAGATGAACAGTTTCAAAAGTCAAAACTGGACGAATACTCCGGGACGGAGGGAGTAATAAACATTGAAAAAATCATCATAAATAGGAGTAAAACATAGAGAAAGAGCTCCTATTTTGGTACTTCCTTTATGTTTTACTCCTATTTAGGGTGATTTATTTGACGATTATTAAACATCTAATTTACATGCTATTCTTCTAAATAATTATAAATAATCAAAAAATTTACTTTTAATTTTATAAAATTATATTTATAGTTTAAAATATTATATTTTCATCGCATATAATTTAAAATATTTTTCCATAATTAATGTATTTTTTATTTTGAAAATGACTAATTTGAGAAAACACCCAGTTAGAAAGTACCATTTTGAAAAAGTAATATAGAATTTCACCTCGTTTTAATGGTGAGACTGAACTGTGTATTATTTTCAATTAACAAGTATCATCTTGAGAATTGGTTAAATTTGGAGACTAATTTAGAAAAATACATAGTTATTGAGTACCATTTTGAAAATTTACTCGTTTAATTAAGTGTGGGAAGAGACAATTAAATTCGGGTTGCACACTGATGCGGGTCGGGTGTTTCTGCAGCGGCCCATACGGTGGGATTTGCTCACTGCGACAGGTTCGCCAACCGGATATACAATTTCAGCAAGCAAAGCCCAGTGGACCCAACTCTGAACCAGCAATACGCGGCCCAGTTACAGTCTTCGTGCCCGACGAATGTGGACCCATTGATAGCGATCGATATGGACCCAGTCACTCCCAAGAAGTTCGACAACCAATATTACAAGAATCTAAAGGACGGAAAGGGCCTGTTCAATTCCGATCAAGTTCTGTACATGGACCCTCGGTCCAAGCCCACTGTTGAGTCGTGGGCCAAAAACCCAAAAGCCTTCCAAGATGCGTTCGTAGTGGCGATGACGAAATTGGGCCGCATCGGGGTCAAAACCGGACGGCGTGGGAATATTCGCGTTGACTGCGGAAGGTTTAACTAACGGCGGTCAAATGGCCCGTATTTATTTGTAACCACTTGTGAAAAGAATTCCAATTTTCTTTTTTTTTTGTTTTTTTCCCTTTTTGATGAATTGTGCCAAAATATGCACATTATTAATAAAACCGGATACTTGTGTATTAGTTTGCTATTGCATATAAAATTTAATCAATAATAATATTGGCGTTGAAAATTTGTAGGAAATTGTTTTTAACCATAAATCTCACTAGAATTCTCGTTCCATATTTTATATGCACGTACTATCTCTGTCCCAAAATGAATTACACTGATACTACTATGACCATGCAATAACATTTGTGTATTTTTATATTTTTATTGATCATTGATAAAATAAAAAATTCTTGTTGTAATTTTTAATAAGTTTTATTTTTAATTTTTATATTAATTTTTGAATAAAATAAATTTTAAAAATATGAATTTTTGCACATAATTTGGATAGTACAATCTATTTAACTACTCCATTCGTCCCTAAATAGATTACAAATTACGGGTTACGAAAAAAAAATTTCCTATTTTTTGAAATCATTTTATTTAAAATTGGTATATCAATAATATATAAAAATTATATATTAAAAAACTACGTCAAAAGTTCTACAAAACAAGAGGTGACAAGAATATTATATTTTATCAAATACTTAATGAAGTAAACAAACAAAAATTATTGAGAGGAGAGAGAGAAAAAAATTGTAATCTATTTAGGAACGGAGAGAGTAGGATTTTTTAAAACCATACAAAGTAACACTCTTAGATCTCTCAAAATTAAATTATCAACTTCTTTAGACGCATTTATAAACTTGTGTGGTTAGAATGCATTCTAAGTACTCTCTTCGTCTTAAATTATATTATACTTTCTCCATCCCAAATTATTCCAAATCATACTGTGATCACTATACATATGATCAAACATTACTCATTTTTTTAAAAACTATTTTTGATAAAATAACATAGTCATGTCACGTTTTGTTTCGAAAATTTTTTGATGTAGTTTCAAAATATATAATTTTTATTTCTTTATTCCAAAAATTTTTTCAAATAAATTAAATTAAAAATAACTTCAGTCAAACATCATAAACCGAAACAAACACTAAAAATTGGGACAACATATTTGAATTTTTAGAGTGTTTTATGCACCAACTTGTATAATCGTACATAAATAAAAACAATGCATTATTATGACATTTCAAATTCACATTATGTAACTACTCTAATGACATTAAAAACTGTAGATGGGGCATGAGGATGTGAGAGATGATGTAACCTCCCCAGAATTGAACCTTTCCTTAGCAAGCCACAGAAGTAGTAGTTATTAAGTCATCCCTCCAAGTGCAGGACCAGACAAAGAGGATGACAATGAGAGCACACCTACCTTCTGGATGACAAATCCTCCACCATGCTTTTTTCTTCTTTTCCCTCTCTCCTTTTTGTTTTGTGAAATTTGCACTAAATAAGACTAAAACATAAGTCATTTTCCAATGTAGGACTTAAACTTTTTTATTTTCTAAATAGGACTTAATAATGACTAGTGAGAAGAATAATGTCCAAGTGATGTTGGACATTTAGTTGAATAATGACTAATAGATAATGACCAATGGTCCTACATTGAGAAATAAAAACATATGGTCCTATATTGAGAAAGTCATTATGTTTTAGTCCTATTTAGGTAAATTACCCTTTTGTTCCCCCCCCCCGACGAGATCGACTCCAGGGGATATTTGGGGGAGGGGATTAAAGAAGGGTGGATCAAAATGAGAGGGTTGTGTAAAAGATAGTAATAATGATCTCTTGTTTGGATTGCAGAAAGTATAGAGAGCTTACAAATGGTTATGATTTTGCCATTTTGAGGGGGATTCAAATCTCCTCTCCTTCCATTAGTCCCAAAATTTGAGTGATGACAATTGAATGGAATGAAAGGATGAACATCATCCACCCATTAGCCATGATAGGGACTATGAGCATTTCCAATGGGGATATCTATTCATTATGCCTAAGAAAAAATAGTGCCACATGTAGAATTTTTTTCCAAGATACATCTGTCCAATGTAATATATCTGATGTGGCAACAATAAATATCAGAGGATATCTAGTATTCCCTTGGTCCCAACAATAAATATAGAGGCTATGGGCTTTTTTGAGTTTAGTAAAAGTGAAGTAAAGGGTAGTAAATATGTAGGTTTTTGTGAGTAAATTTCAGTAAAAAGTGTATGTCAGGAGTGGAGTGACTAGTGAGTAATAAACAGTAAAACACTACTGATAATATTCATTGACAATATTTTAGCTTACAACACCATGATTTCTAGAGACCTATAATATTGCTTATATAGAGAAATAATGGGGCCTAATCCCATCAAGAAACTTAGACCTTGAACCTAACAACAATATTTTTGATAAAGAGTAAGAGCATCTTCAATGTGTAGTGTAAAACTTGGTAGTGTAAATTTCATTTTACACTATCAAGAGTATTTTACACTTCCATTTTTTAATACCTACTCCAACCATGTTTTGTATAATATACTCCCTACTACACATTTATTCATGTCCCTATCTACAACCAGCTTGTATATATACACTTTGCCAATTGTATTTTACCCTATATTGTATTTTAGCATTTGTTTTACCCTCTCCCTTGGAGTGTCAAAAAATTAACCACAAAGTGTAAATTGTGTAAATTTTAGCATATAACCTCTACGCTGGAGATGCTCTAATACAACAAAACCCAGTACAATGCCAACCCTGTTGGGTCTAGGTGTCAAGGTTTATGTCTTCTTACGGTGGTAAAACACCGAGAAGCTTCTTCTGTTAAGGCCTCGACGCATTGTTGCATTTACTACCCAAGATTTCGTATAAAGTAATAAGCAAATGAAGTTCAACTTGTCATTTTAATTTAGTAAATTATTTACTCAAGGCTAAAATATTGTCAATAATGACTATTTTGGATTCATTGGATATGGTCTATCGAAACAACAATAGTACTAAAGCTAGGAGGACTATATTTATAAAAAAATAATATTTACTGTTTTATCCTTTCCTAGGCAACCCACCCCCAAACCCACTTGGTGGGATTTTACTAGGTTGGTTGTTGCACGATTTACTAACTTTCTATAAGTAGGACTACTCCAAGCTTGTTGTAAATTCATACTTATCTATCTATGACTCGATGCTGACCAAATCACATGGTTAAAAAAATATACTGGGGGTATAAATTAATAAAAAAAATTAATAGAACAACAGCCTAGGAGAATCACACGAAAGTAGGGTTTGAGGAGGGTGCGTGCTTACAGACCTTAGCCGTACTCGACTTGAAAGTTGAGAGGTTATTTCCAAGAGACACCCGGCTCAAGCAACAAAAAAGGCACATAAAGAGCAAACAAAGGGTAAAGAAAAGCTCAAAGAGATAAAAAGCACCAAGCATAGAAAGCACACAATGACAAGAGTAAAAACTATCACTAAGGACCAAAGTAGTCCCAAACAACTACCCAACTATCCTAATCCTACATCTCCAGCTATATAAGGTTATAACATTGGCAAGGGACAAAATCTTAAGTCCTATATAATTGCCTCCTATTTCTTCCAAAGTCTACCCCTTCTTGCACCCCAGCTTTATCTAAAATGGTTTCAATAAAAGCCACATTTATGTTTCCTTGGTTGGGAAAAGGAATAAGAAGGATAAATAGAGGGGAAATTTTTAATGTGCATAGGTTTCAGAAACTTACGGATAAAAATGAACAAGAATAATTGATCAATATGGAAAGATATATAGGACCAGAAGAAAAGTTAACTTCAACCTCGATAGTAAAAAAATGAAATTTGAGTTGAACTTCAAACTAAAAACTTGAAACATGGAGCAGAATTAAAACGTGAACTTCTATTTTCTCGATTAACCAGACTGTTACGGACTTAGAATTTTAAAACTTTACGTTGAACTAAACTACAGTTAAACTTGACATGAAATTGTAGCTTTGTTTTCCTCTCTTTTATTTTTTTAAATATTAGTATATTACATAGTAATTTTTTGCGTCGATTACAAGATAAACTTACCATTGCAGGAAGGGTTAGGCAATTTGATGTAAACTGGGAACACAACCATTGCCAAATTGCAGGAGTGAACACAAAAGGAATTCCTCAATGGGAGTATCGATTTTGGTGGTGAGGCCAAATTGTGAATGTTAAAGAAGAGAATGAAGGCAAGCAGAAAGACCACTCTTGGTTGTCTCAATTTCCATGAAGAATGCGATAGATTGAGTGAGAACTAAGGAGAAGCATGGCAGACAGTTTAGGGTATTGTATTGTAGGACTAGGCTCATATACCATGTCCTGTTCTAACCAGATTCTTTTGTCTTTTACTATGTTGTTATACTAGGCTCGCATACCATGTTACTCTACTGATTTTGATGGGTTTGTTGTTGTAGGCTCACATACCACGTTACTCTCTCCGTCCAGAATTAGTTGTCAGCTTTCTAAAAATTCTCATTTTTTAAGAAATGAGTTTAAAATGTCAAATAAGCACTTTAGATGAGTTAGTCACTCATTCATATCAACAATGCTCATACTCTATCTCTAGGATACTTTAGACAACTCGTCGCAGTTTCTTTGTTGAATATGGAAAGTGGATAAGTAATTTCAGACAAACGAAAGTAAGAGAGGAAAACTAAAGAACAATCTAATGCTTATATAGAGAAATACTGGGCTTAAACCCAATAGGAATATCCTGTTGTACAAGGGCAAAGGTGATATCCAGAGTTACTATATTTAGAGTCATCAAACTACTTAGTCATGCCATGAGGGTTTGAGAACGTATCATTGAGTCCAAGTTGAAGTAGGAGGTGGGAATTTCTTAAAGTCAGTCTGGCTTTACATCTGATCGATCAACTACGGAGGCCATTCACCTCATGGTTTTAAGCATCAGTAGGGTTATGTGAGGCGTACACCATAACATGGTGAGGCAGAGGTGAGGAGAGAGTCATGAGGCAAAAGTGTTGATGAAAATTATAGTGCTGATATAGGTTGAAAAGCTATTTGGCAATCTAAAAAAATATTAGGCCTGAGCAGAGTCTGATTTCAAAAAAATGGCACTTTAATAACTTAATAAATGTAGTCTATAATTACTCCGTATGATTTCTCTCGACTTAAGCGCAAACTTCCTTCTCTCCACTTCATCTTCAGCGCAACCTCTTCATCTTCAGCTCAGCCTCTTCATCTTCACTGCAACATCTGTATTATTGTTGCAGTTCTCTAAGGCGATTTTCATAATCTCGCTTCATATTCTAATTAGAGTAATGCTAGAGTCACAAACATTTGGTTCACAAACTTCACAAACTTACTTTTTTAACACTTTTCTAGAAATAAGATACATTCAAATAATTAATGATATTTTAATTTAAAATCCAAAAAAGGCAAGTTTGTGAAGTTTGTGAATAATATGTTTGTGACTCTAGCATTTTCCTTCTAATTACTTCGTCATATAATTCTGTCGAACTTTTATTTTTTATGTTCCTTTTTTAGGATCACTCTCCCTCTTCATCAATTATTTGTATATATTTTTTCTGTATTTTGTTTAACTTAAAATTTAATACTCCCTCCGTCCCCCAGTTTTTGTCCACTTTCATTTTTACACACCATCCAACACACTTCTTTAATCCATTTTATCTTGTAATTTGTATATTAAAAAATTATAGAAATTATATATTAATAATCTAGAGTATATGTTAAGACAAATCAAACAAGATCACACATGACTATATTTAGGCTTACACATTGAGAGAACTTGATGAGTCAAAGTGCTTAGATGAACAGTTCCAAAAGTCAAAAGTGGACAAAAACTGGGGACGGAGGGAGTATATATTTGTAATTGATTTTTTTTTCTGAATTTTGGTTATAAAATAACTTTAAATCCAGTTATATATGATTTTATAACTAATTTGACATGATTATGGATTATGTAATGTGTTTATTCTTAAGTATTTATTTTAGTATTATTTTTTTCAAACTGAACTGAGGCTTCCACCTCAAAGCATGTTTCTCCAGCGCCTCGATGCTAGTTTTCACCTTTTAAAAACCTTGATTCACCCCTTGAGGAGGATGATGGAGTACAAGCACAAGAAGAGAGACCAACACATGGTGTTTATTGACTTGGAGAAAGCATACGGCATGATTCCGAAGGCAGAGATGGAGGGTCTGCCCCTTCCCAATGCATGCTATTTGCTGATGAAATTGTCATGATTGATGAGACAAGTGAGGGAGTCAGTGACAAGTTGGAAGTGATACTGTCGTTATTGACGAGACAAGTGCAGGGACTCAATGATAAGTGGGAAGTGTGGCATCAGCCCTTGAAATCTAAAGACATCTGATTGAGTAGGGCCAAGACTAAGACACTAAAAGTACCAGGAATATTGCTACAGTTGTTGAGTGATTGGGTCAGAATTGGAATTTGGAAGCAAAGGTTGATTCGCATCCAGTGCCTAAAAGAGACAATTTTCAGTACCATGGATCGGTTATTTATGCAGATAGGGAGATAGATGAGGATGTTGTTCATCGTATTGGAACTACGAAGAGTGTTGGGCAGTGAAGAAAACTCATGTTTGTCACTTGAAACCTTTAAGTCACTTGAGAACTTGATTAGTATGCGTCTATTGCCAATGGAGCTAACACAGTCATTTTTTGACAAAATTTGTAGCTACTAGTAATGGACTAAAACAAAATTCAAAATGACACATTTAACTTCACTTCTTACATTCTATGATGTTTTTCGCACTACATGGATCAATGCACCAGGGGTCTAATAGAATCAGTCTCTCGCTTTACTGGGAAAAGGGTGCGTGCATCTTGACTCTTGAAACCCCGGTCAAAACCAACCGAGTTGGGATTACACTGTGTTTATTATTGTTGGGAAATTAATTAGTATTAGTGAGTTATTACGGGAGAAGATGTATATAAGAAAATCATGCAACCAATGAAAAAATAAACAAGAAAAAAAGAATGCATAATTTATCAAGCTATCTTTACAAATTACAACGAGCAGAACATATATCAGATAAACATGCCTCACTTCTGTTATGTTCCTTTTGAAGCATGCACAAGTAATCATCAAATGGAAAGCATACATATAACAGAAAGATGAAGACTGAAGAGGCATGTAATAGGTCATTAAATTGAAATAAACCTGTCAGTATCCTTACATTTGTCTGGTACCTTGGAATACTGCAGATGTAATACTTTTGGATCATTTCATGACTTTTCTTGCAAACCTAACCTGTATATGTTCCCAGAAATACAATGAGAAAGCAGGACATTAAAAACAAAAAAACACAGTTCTAAACAAATTCCTTCCCGAGATCATACATGGCAAAGAAATCCTAGGCAACATGTTTTATTTGAGTTGCCAAATCATATTAAAATATAGTAAAGTTATTTACACCAAAAACAATTACACATAAAAATCTGGTATATCTGGAAGCAGCAAAAATTACAGGCACACCTTTGCTTGAGTACCATTTTGGGACATCCCAAACAAATGTCATGCAGCTGTCTGCTTGACTTCCTGGAAATAGAACTGTATGCTGAGGATAATATAATACTCCTTCCGTCCAAAAAATAATGTTCCCGGTTTGACCAAGAATAGTGATTAAGAAAAGTTTAAAAAGTTATTGACTTTCTCATTATGCCCCTGAATATAATACACAATCTCATTCAACCAACTTGACTGACTTGCACTGCTTCACCTCCGTCTTTGTTTTTCTAGCCGTCGTTGCCACTCGTACTGCTCCACCTCAGTCTGTTTTTTCTACTTGCCGCTGCTTCACCACTCAAACTGATATTTCCTTCCATTTTTTTCTACTTTGCACTCTGCTCGTCAAATCCAGAAGGCCTACCGAAGAAAGAAATCAGAAATTTTCACCCTGTTCTTCTTCTGTGGAAATTCAGAGATCTTCAAAGATACTCCTTTTTTCCCTTTAAAATCCACAGATAAAATGTCTGATGGACAATGAATAAGCCTTCATAGCAGATTTGATTCAAAAGAAACTACCATGAAAGAAATCAGGTCTCGATTTTCTCAAAAAAGGAGATCAACGAATTGAGGGAGACAAACAAATGGTTAGAGGGGAGGGGGGGTTAGAAATTACAAAAAAAAGTTAAAGAGAAAGTTATCAAGGAAGAAAAAAGAAGCTTTAATTGTGTTAGTGAAGTGTGTGCGGCTGTGATGAAACTGGGAGGGAGTGAAGGAGTACGAACGGGGGCAATTTTCTCCTTTCAAGTCAAAAAAAGTTTTCTTTTTTTAGAGATGGGTACCTTAATTTGGGACAACCCAAAATGGAAATTGAGAACCTTATTATGGGACAGAGGGAGTAACAGCACACTTACTGAGATCTTATCATGTGAATCTCAGCTACTAAACCAATTGAGTCTTCTCATGCACAAAAATGAAGTAGCACCCAGCCATGTTCTTGAACTAGCATTAATAGGGGTAGAGAAGAGGGAAAACTGAAGTAAAGAAATTTCGGAAACTTTAAAAAATGACCCTTTATTAATATATGAAAGATGAACAAGCTACTAACATTAGTTGGTGATGGCCGTGATGCCCATTTAACTATTTATAATTGCTACAATCTTACAAGTATTTATATCTCCATACTTTATGAGGTAACAATCCCCAATCCAGAAATAATCAGCTCTGAGGTGTATATACAACCTAAAAACCTTGATCCAAAACTTTTTTCTAGCTTGAAACCACGTAGATGAGTTACTCGTTGCTTATAACAGCCTTCTGTGTCAGCGTCACTACTAGATCAGGCAATGAACTTGTGATCCATATCAAAACTCTTTGTTTGACGTAAGTCACAACCACACACAAAACATGCACTAATCAACCAAAGGTTCTTCTGATGTGCGCACGCAGATCTTCTCAAGCTGTGTGGGCCAGTCTTCTCCAAGCACCCTAGGATCTGACTCCATAGCAACACGGAAGTCTAACAATGAAGCACAACATTCGTGTGGCTTTTTAACGTGTCTCACAGTCCTCATCCCATTTAAAGTGGATACAGCTTGATGTTGAACAGTCTTCTGTCTTGACCTTGAAGAAGCTAGTGACAAGCAAGGCTCTATTAATCTCTTGAGATAAGCATCCAGCCCATTGTTTAAGAGATTAACACAATCAGTGGAAACCTTCAACCCCTCTGCCTCCAACTTCTGTTCCAATCTTTTCTTGAGAGAGCTCGAATCAGGCAACTTACCACTGACATGACAAGTTTCTACCGGGAGGACAGATTCCGCTCCATGATGTAAAAATTTCTTTGTTGCCCTTGACATCAGAGAGACCCCAAGTGGAGCTGTGACAGGAACCCTACTGTAAATGGCAGGTTTACCCTCCTGCTCCACCTCTTCTCCATCTTCCACAGAATTGACTTCAACAGGTGGCCTGCTGCCCAAAGACAGCAGCTCAGTAGCACTTTGCTGTTCAAGTACTTTCTGCGCAGAGTCTTCACATGTAGCAGCAGTAATGACTTTCCCATTTGGTCCCAGAGGACTTGGCCGGTCTTTAAACTTGCGATCACGATGCGTAGGCGTTCTACCCTTCCTGGGGGACTGAGGAAACACGTCCCTGCACAGAGACTGAAGACTCCCTCTTTCATATCCATTTGGTACACTCACATTCAACGGAGCCCGCGCTTTTTTATCTCTGGGTGGAGGGGCTTTTGCGGCACATGCATTTTTCAAGAACGCATGGATGAGCGCGTTGTGAAGGCGGATATTATCTCTCCCGAATAAACTGTTGCAGTGCTTGTCAAACTCAGATCTGCTCAGCTTTAAGCTTAGGTATCTCCCCAACAGATGAAAATACTGTTCTGCCCTCTGCCGGCCGATCTTCCTTTCAATCTGAAGTTTCAGCTCGCGAGTATCGATCCGGGGGCAATGCCGAGCTCCAGGCATTTCGATTCCCGAGTCTTTCCAAAATTTGAACAGAAAGTGCGAAATAAATCCCAATGTACCAAATCCCTAGCAGCACTTATCTTCTTCACCCATTCGAGCTGGCAATCTCAGTTCAAAACTCAGGGTGTGTTCTGCAAGAAAAAATAAGCTCAATTGAACTTCCACTCACTCAGAAGACAAAATCAACTCCCCAATTCGCCAATTGAAAACCCAAATCAGCAAGAAACAACTCCCACTGAATGCGAAATCAATACCCAACATCACACACTGAAACAATCGCAATGTGAAAGAACAAAATCCGATAAAAACCAAGTAAAAAAATCCGGACTTCAAGATCGGCACTTCGCCCAGAATCGTGATCCAGTGGCTAAAACCCCCAATTCGCGACAATGGGCGCGAGAAATGCGGAAGGAGAGCGCCGGAAAACGGAAATTAACTGATACCTGAATCGAACAAGCTCCGAATTCCAAGGAATTGAGGTCTGAATCGCCGAGTGCGAGCTTCGAACAGTCGTTGATCGGAGACCCTAGAGAGAGAAAGCGGGGATCGAGAAAGAGAGAGAGAAAGATTATGGCTCGTAAGCGCTGGGGTTTTTTTTTTCTTTTTTTTCTTTTTTTTGGAAGCTTCGGCTTCTTGGAGTCGTGAGGGAGTCAAAGCGGCACGTGCGTCTTTACAGGTGTTTGCGGTTGGGTTCAGTGAGCGGAGACTTGAACTTTGTGTTTGGGAGTCTGAGGTTGTTATTCTAGTACCGCTAGAAGTGCCCACGGTTCACATAGCGAGTGTGACATTATTGTCTAGTTTCTAGTACATGTTCAAATACACATGAGTCTTTCTTTGGAACAGTGTTTGATTAACGTTACTATTTTGGATTACTTCATTAGTGTAAGGGGCTGTTTGGCAACTTCTGAATGGGTAAGTGCTGAATCAGTAAGAGGCCTGAACCATTAAGTGCTGAACCAGTAAGAAGTCTGAACCATTAAGAGCTAGTATATTTCTTAACTATTCAGAGGCAAATGTCTGATCAATTCAGATAAGAGATATTAACCATTCAGACTCTGTATAATACTTAATCATTCAGAGGCAAATCTCTTAACCATTCAGACTTCTGAACCATTAAGAGGCTGAAACAAACAGTCTGAACCATTAAGTGCTGAACCATTCAGACACCTGAACCATTAAGAGGCTGAAACAAACAGCCCCTAAATTTAGTAGAAAAAAATGTTTTCTCATAGATTTAATTTTGAGAGTCATATTGTATATTCTTCTTTGCTATGTAAGCAAACCATTGATCAATACTTTTTGCTAGCATAAATTGTTCTTCGATAAAGTTTATTATAAAATCGCTAAGATGGATTGTCAAATAATTTTTTCAAATCGCTAATACTAAATTCTAACCTGATGTCAAACGAGACCATGAAAAATGAATGCATATATTTCATATCTGAAACTAAATTTTAAAAGAAAAAGAAAACTGTCTTAGGAATAGGATAAACAATTTAAATATTTAAATCGTGTTTAATGCATGCAATTTGATAAACTTAATAATAATGAAAAATCACATTTCAGCTATAATACATATTTTTCGTTTAATACTCCGGGTAATTTATTTTCTTGTATTACAGATATTCAGATAGTAATTGTTGACATAAATCACTTGGTGTAGAATTGGTGTTTACCGTACTGTTAAATCTCCTAATAGATTATGATAGACATTGAAAAATCTAAGTTCACACTCTTGATCATGGTGTGGATCATATGAGCTAGACTTACTATATTTTTATCGAGTTGAGGATAACGAGACACGTCTTTTAAATAATTACAAAGTCTTGAATTTTATGTAGACGGAAAGTGTGAAAGACTATGAGCCGAAACCCCGTGAACTAATTGTTATTATTGAGAATAAGAGAAAATGAGTTGTCAATGTCAAGTGCTATTAACACATGGTGTGCATTACTATATTTATTGGTGATTATCAATATATTGTTCCACATTTCACTATAGTATTTAACACTTTCATGTTCTCGTCATTGTCAAGCGAGCCCATATGATCGCATTATATCTTAATTTAGGCAATGCCAAATGATGTGTGGAACCCAACCACGCGTGGTACATAAATCTCCCACCGCTCATCTGGACTATTACTCGAAATGATATCACATGGGCCAAATGCATAATTTTAAGTTCAGGCAAGACCAAAAGTTATCAAGTTATTCTTTTGAGTAACTTCTTTTTTTATCATGGGCCAATGTAACCCATTCTCAAAAGAAAAGTCCAACTTATTTGACTTGGTTGCTTTGAGTTTATACTTCTCAACAAGTCCTTTGCTTCTGGATGTGTGAGAACCAACAAGGGTAGAAGGAATTTTAAATCAAATTTCACAATTATCGCTCTTAATTTTAGACATATTCTTTTTGCGAATAATTTTAGTCATATGTCTTATCTCAAAAAGTTATTGAGATATCTTATAATACACTGTACTGAGATGAGATAGATGGGATAAAACTCAAAAGAATTGATAATGCTACTCATAACAATAAGATGCATCTTCTTTTCGAGAACTCGTAACTTTAAAATTTTAAAGTTATGCATGCTTGACTTAGAACTGTTAAACCTTGTATGGAAACCATAGAAATGTGCACTGGTTATGTAAGCAAAATTTCCATGTATTGATTTTGATAATTGACAAATAATGATGTGATAGTAAATTGAAGATAACAATCAAGGTTTTGATGACAGATAATGTGAAAATGTGAAACATGTGCTACACAATCAAGTTGTGCTAAGGATTCGAAGACAACAAAGAAGTGCTCAAAAGTTCATTAGCGAAAATCCTAAGACGCATATAATTATGTAGAACTCATGTTGGAGCAACATCTATTTAATCTTATCTTTTGACTCAACATAAATCATCTTAAATATGCATAAAATCATGGCTTTCAAAGTTACTTTCTACCCAAAATCTATTTCAAAATAGATCAAGAGTAACTTTTATTTTGGTAGAAAATCATGCAACAATCGATTTTCAAAGTTGGACAAATGATTGTTAGGCTATTTTTGGCAAGCCAACAAACGGTCGTTGGTCCGTTTTTTATATATTTGCAGCCTTCAATAATTACCGATCGTCATCGTTGGACAATCAATTGTCAGCCTTTCTAGACCTATTCCTAGAACATCTACAAAGCTTAATAGTCGATTGTCAGTTTTGGATAATCAATTATGAATGTTACTTTTTGCCCTCCAATGGTAAGGTTTTTGACTATTGTGTAAAAAATTGAACTAACAATCGATTGTTAAGTTTAGAAAATCGACTGTTAGCCTGATCTTGACCAAATACATTAAATCCCTAATTTTCTTTTGAATTACTTTTTATTGTTTAAATAACTTATTACTTTTACGGGCATAAGTCTCAAGTTGTGTTTTGAATAATGACTTAAGCTTCCACATACGTTTTGATTATTACTCCGATAGATGTAAAATTACACTACAAGAATTTGTAAGATCTGCGACGGACAAATTCCCTCGCAGATTTGCGAATTCCGTAGCAAATTCAGAATTTGCAACGGATCTGCAACAGACTTTGTCCGTCGCAAAAAACTTGTCACTGGGCCAAAATCTGCGACGGAAGTTTGTGTCCGTCGCAACTCTGCGACAGTGTCTGCGACGAAAAGAAGTGGCAAAAATCTAGAAAAAAATCTGCGATGGAATAGAAATCCGTTGCAGATCTGCGACGGGATATAAAAGTCCGTTGCAGATTTTTCAGAACTAAAAAAATATCGCCTTTCATCACTTATGTCTTAGCGAAAAAACACATGACCAATCTGCAGTTTAACATATACAAGCTCTTGAGAAATTAAATAGAGCATCATATAATTGTTACACAAGTATAACTATAAATATTTTTATTACATATACATCTCAAAAATCATTACAATGATGTTTAAATGTAATGAAGATACTTGAAATACATGCAACTTCTTACTCTCTTATAATATAGTAATGGAGAGACTTTATTCAAGACTATAAATACGCTATTATGAACTTCCAAGTTTTCAATATCCACCGGATAACTTATACTCTTATGGCTTGTTGTCTTTTGTTGACAATTAAATTATTGTAGACTTCAATATATTGAACACCAATTGGCCTTATGCATGACTCAAGTCCAAAATTGTCTCGTCCCAATGACTGAAAAAAGAACATAACAAAAAAAAACATTACCACCAAAAAGAGAATTAAAGGGGATACAATATAATAACATTAAGAGTAAGAAAAAAGAATGTTCACCATCCATAAAATGATTCCCTGTTTGAAAACAATATAAGAACATGCAATGAATTGAATAATGAAGCCAATAATAGTAAGAACTTAATAATGAGAACACACCTTTGATCATAAATATTAGTGATGAGATTAGGGGATGCATTTTTCCCTATAGACAATAAAATTTAGATGTGATGAGAAATTAGTACAAATTACCCAAAGTATTTAGATATTTGGTGATTAAGGCCAGGTGCAAGACATTGCTGCTCATTCATAGAGAAGGGAGTGGATTTTTGTCTACTATCTGCAAGAACAAAAACAAGCAACAAGGGCTCTAATTAATCAAGTTAGAACATTTTATCACAAAAAATCAATAGAACAAAAAATATATTGAAAGAAATAAATGTATAATTGAAAATAAAATTGTAAATAAATAACACCATCTCAACTACATGACAATAATGTGCAATAATTGACAAGTAAAAACAAGAAAAAATGTTTAATTGACAAAGAAAATTTCTACGAAATTGCATTATTTCAACCAATTGATAATAAATCATAATAATTGAAGCTAAAATCATCAATCAAATTGAAAAAAATTTGAAAACAAAATAAACCTTGAATATGACCGGAAAAGAGGCGGCGGCTGTTAGGCGAAGGATCGATTTCAGAGGGCAGCGACGAGGGTTAGAGATACAGTGTGGCGACATCGCCCGACGATTAATGGAGGAGGGAGGACGGCGAGAGGCGACGATTCACTAGTGAACCGTCTAGAGGTTGGTGTATGTTCGGCCTAGGGTTTCCGCCTGTTGGTGTCCAGTGCTGGCGGTGGGGCTGCATCTCTGGCCGGCGGATGCAGGTGGACGGGAAAATGTGGAGATTAGGAACTAGGATGGGATGCACGTCAGGTCTATGGTCTGGTGGAGTTTTGACGCAGGGAACGGGAAGAGCTTCTTGTGATTTGGGTTTTTTGTGATCTGAAACAAGATAAGGTTGGAGTTTTTATTTTAAAAATATAATTCCAATCTGCGACATACTTTTTGTTTCCGTTGCAGATTTGCAACGGACTCTTATAATTCTGTAGCAGATTTTACCAGATTTTTTATAAACATGTTTTCGTCGCTTTTTTTGTCGCAGATTTGCGACGGAATAACATCCGTTGCAGATTCCTGTCGCAGTTTAGGCGAATTCTTGTAGTGTTATGTTTTGAACTATTGTTTTGAAAA